ATGATGCTCTTTAAAGCCTGTATTGCTTTCCACCAAGAGGTCCTGCAAGTCTCAGTGAGGATAGCTTGTGTGTAGTTAAGACTTGGAGTGAAATACTCGTATTTTGTTGGGGGTCTTCAAATGTATCATATTTCAAAGCCAAATGTGATGTCCTGTGGCATATGAAAAGGAGGACTGGGTGGCTATGTATCTAATAACCATGGTCATGTCCCCACTCTGTTTTTCAGTTTGTGGAGTTCATTGGCTCCCTTCTTGCCATCTGCTGCATGATCTTCCTGGGCTTTGCGGATGATGTTCTGAACCTGCGCTGGCGGCACAAGCTGCTACTTCCTACCATGGCCTCCCTTCCTCTGCTTATGGTTTACTTCACTAACTTTGGGAACACAACTATTGTGGTACCCAAACCCTTCCGGGTGTTGTTGGGGATGCACTTGGACCTGGGTGAGTGACGGAGCACAAGAAGATCATCAGCTTAACACTAGCCACAAGGATTAAGTGAGCTGTAGCTCACAAAAGCTTATGCTCAAATAAATTTGTTAGTCTCTAAGGTGCCACAAGTCCTCCTTTTCTTTTTAAGGGTAAAAAGGCGATCCAAAGCCAAAGTTCCTGAGGGTGGCAGGTGGCAATATGTGCACAGTTGTGGGTTTCCTCTCAATGCAGATCATTATTTGGAACATAGATTTTGATACCAGAGAACAGGGTTGATAGTCTTATCAAGTTATTAGTTCAGCAATTTATCATTTTCTCAGCTTTGCCCAGAGAAGCACTCAACACTTTTACAGGATCAGGCCCTAAATTCATGGAGTGCCAAATGCTGTTGGTGCTTAAATGTGGATGGCAAATTGATCGAAGTGCAGAACTAGGAATCTGAAGGCGTGGATTCTGTTCCCAGTGTTGTCACTGACTTGTTTTTGTGACCTCTGCCCCATCCTCTGTCTTTTTCCATATCTGTGCTTGGTGCGTGTGTGTGTATGTAATACCAACTTCTTGTGAGCAGGAGATGTTTATTAAACTGTTGTGAAATGTGCTGTGATCATTCATTAAGGCAAAGAGGTACATACTACTAAATTGAATCTAGACCCCCCCTCTTTAAAACTTGGGTGTGAAGGCCCTTCTCTCTGTCTGATCTGCAGGTATCCTGTACTATGTGTACATGGGCATGCTAGCAGTGTTTTGCACCAACGCCATCAATATTCTTGCTGGAATTAATGGGCTTGAGGCAGGACAGTCTCTGGTGATAGCTGCTTCCATCATCACATTCAATGTTGTTGAATTAAATGGTAAGGAAAATGTATGCGTCTTTTGGGGGTTCTGAATCAGGGAAAAGATCCAAGGGAGCTAGGTGCCTGTACTTGGAAATGTTTGATGTCTAGAAAGATGAGCAGATCTTCAGATGAGGATAATGCTTATGTACCAAGTGGGGCCATGACACCCATTTTGTATCTGGTCCAGTGTATTAGTGTAACCCTCTTGAAGACTCTCGTGAGATACCTTCTTGACAGGCACTGTATACAAATCTAAAATGGACAGATCCACACTCTGGACATACTTCTGGACCACTGTGGCTGATGCTACATTGTCAGTAATTTTGTTCTCTCTCTCTCTCTTTTCTACAGGAGATTATAGAGATGACCACATTTTTTCTCTCTACTTCATGATTCCCTTTTTCTTTACTACTCTGGGGCTGCTTTACCACAACTGGTAAGAGACTACATGGAATAAAGAAACGTTCATAGTATTATAAGGCTCCCTCCCCCTTATACTTAGAGGAGACAAGTAATTTAACAATTCACAAGCTCTCAGAAATAGAACAATGGACTGCTGATCTCTATATTCTGGCTGGAGCACAAAGATTCTGGTGCGTTGATCCATTGGAAGACTTTGACTGCACCAGAGAACTGCACAATAACAGGGGACTTCTGACTCGAGGTTCTGTGGTTTGATCACAAGACTATCTGTCCTCCAATCCCCTACACACTAATAATCTCTCCAGCAAATAGCTCAGGCACTAGATTTAAAATCTTGCAGTAAGATTGTGAATGCCAGACTTTCCTACACTTGATCTTTAACACTAATACTATGCCCCATTCCCATTTTTTATGTCTGTGGGTTGCAGGTATCCATCCAGCGTGTTTGTAGGTGACACCTTCTGCTATTTTGCTGGTATGACGTTTGCTGTGGTGGGGATCCTTGGGCACTTCAGTAAGACAATGCTTCTCTTCTTCATCCCACAAGTGCTCAACTTCCTCTACTCTTTGCCTCAGCTCTTCCACATCATTCCTTGTCCCCGTCATCGGCTGCCCAGGTAAGAAGTGTGTAAGTGACTGTGAGATGCAATGTATTTGGAACAAGGAGATGCCTTTGGCTCTGGCTTGTTTTGGGTCTGAAATGGGGGTGGGGATGTCTGCAGATTTCCCTAAAGGATAAAATATATGCCTCATCTGCTGTGGCTGAAGGAGGGAATGAGAAGTGAAATGTAGACCTTATTCATCACCTAGGGACAAGGGCATTTTACAGGACTGTGTGGGGAATTTCACTTGGTAACAACTACCCTCTTCTTGCCCAAGGACAAGAGAAAACTGTGGACCTAGAACGATTATGGATGCTATGATTTTATGGTGTCCAGTGTTTTTCCACAACATTTAAACTTAACAAAAAATTCTAACCTTTCCTGTTGCAAACAGCTGGGTGTAAAGAGAGGAGCTGCTGCCCTGTAAATTCAGCCCAGCAGAAAACTGCCTCCTGCCAAACAGCAATAGTAATGTCCTTCCTACTGGTTCCCAGAAGGTAGAAACTGCAGAGTCCTGATGGGGCACTGTAGTACTAGCATGGCTTAATGCGGACCAAGTTTATGTCTGTGATGCAAAATCAACCTTGCTGGAGGATCTAGTTTAAATGCACCGGTCCCTAATAGCTTGGGTAAAGGTTTGTAGACTGAGTTATCACCATGTTAACAAATAATCTTGTTAACCCTGTAAAGGCCAGAGCTGTAATGCTGTTCCTTAACAATGTTACAAAATGGTTGTTCCTAACCGCACAGGTCACATTGAAGTGTTTATACCATCCCTGAGGTGCTGTTATCAGAAGATCCTGAGGGTTCGAGGGGGGGTGGGGCGGAAGAGAGTGTGTGGGTGTGTTTCTACTTTGAGAATGTTGTGGCAATTGAAATACAATCAACTAACCCCCCCTTACCACCACCCCCAAAATTCTCCTGCCCCTGCCTTCTTTGAGTGGCTACACACCTGAGACTCCTAACATTACTGGGACTATTACATGCATAGGATTACTCCAGCTGTTTCCACCATTCACTTTTTAAACAACCCCGTCTCTTTTATAGAGAGATTAAGCTGCCTCTTTGCTGCAATTGGACTAATATTTCAGTGTTCTTTTCAGGCTCAATCCTGATACAGGGAAGCTGGAGATGAGCTACTCCAAATTCAGAACCAAAAGTCTTTCAGCACTGGGAAAGTATATTCTAAAGGTAACCTGAGAAAGACAAGTAAAATTTGTCTTCCGCTAGCAGCCATACACTTGGGAATTGGTGGCAGTGCAAAACTCCCTCCCCACCCCATGCCTCTGGGCACCTGGAGTCAAGTCCTGAGTAAAAGGAAACAAGTTCAGTATAGTCTCATCCCAATCTCTGGTGGACACTTGTCCACATTACTAAAACCTTGCAAAACAAAGCATGACTAGCAGTGATTGCCAGGGGCCTGATCTGTCTTTCCATTGATTTCACTGAGTTTTGGATCAGAACCTAGGAGTGGAACAACAGAGGGCATTGTTGGCAAGGTGTTGTGGAAGAAACTTTCAGTACATCTTCATGCACCATACAAAGCTCTAAGCAGTAAACAACTAATGCATCTAATTAAATGGTGCTTAACACACTTCTCTTCCCCAGGTATCAGAGACCTTACATATAGTGGATGTGAGACAGGAATTGGATGAAGATGAAGAATACACAGAGTGCAATAACATGACACTCATTAACTTTGTTATAAAGCTTATTGGACCAGCTCCAGAGCAAACGCTCACTGTCCTGCTGCTGCTTATCCAGGTCAGGCAAACACTCCCTCAGGGAGGGGGACATACTCCGCAGTGGATAGATCCACACTAAAATTCTCAGGCGTTGGGAACATTTGATTCCACTCCTGTACTTATCTTTACTTCTTCCCTTCTATCACACCAACTAGCTTGCTATTGCCTGGGTTGATCCTCACCTCCCTAGGGAAGCCAAGGCTCTGCTATAAAGAACTATACTGCTAGGGAGGTGGTGGAATCTCCATTCTTAGAGGTTTTTAAGGCCCAGCTTGATAAAACTCTGGCTGGGATGATTTAGTTGGGGTTGGTCCTGCTTTGAGCAGGGGGTTGGATTAGATGACATCCTGAGGTCTCTTCCAAACCCTAATCTTCTATGATTCTATCCTCCTCAGAGAGAATAATCTTGCCCAGTCTTCTCATTTCCACCCCACCTCCCTTGTAAGTAAAGACATGGAAATATTTTAAATTAACTTCTGTGTTACTTACGAAGGTTGGTCATATGCAGAAGTACCAGTAAGCTGATACAGGGACCTGGTCTTCATACCACTCGGTAAAGCGTTTAGCACAGCTGGATTCCAATTCTCTTCCTTGTTTTTCCCTCTGTAGGTAGGGGGCAGTACCATTGCATTTTTGATCCGGTACCAGCTAGTACGCTTGTTCTATGATGTTTGACTGAGCTGCCGGGGTAAGGGAAATGCCAGCACCTCCTGATGATCCACCTTTTACTTTCTGTGGTTCCCCTCCAAATGGCTGCAGTGATCCCGCTTTGTCTCTGTGAATCACAAGACCCCTTTCTAGATGTGAGTAAAGACTCTTACACTGGCCTCTCTGCTGAATTTTTTTTGTCCTGTGCTTTGGTTGCGCACAGAGGTAATTTGTCTGATACTGGTGTTAATGTCCCATGAGCATCATGGGCCTGTAGACATATTAGCATTACTGGGAATAACCAGCGCAAGGAAGATTTGCAAATATGACTTGAATCTTTTGTCTAGGGAGCTGGGAAAGGAGCCGGGGAGGAAGGCACCCCTGCCCTCCCTTGCCCCTAATATATTTTTGTTTTCTCATTCAAATGATTTATTATTGAGATACAGTATGTTTCCCCTAGCATCCTGCTTTACATAATTACTGTCTCTCCATTGCCATCACTTTGCTCGCAGGGCAGGTACGCCAACAGTTCCAGCCAATGACCACTCTGCAGGCTCTGAGGGGAAGGCTGAATGGGGGAATGAATTTACCAGTTGTCGTTCCAGCCCTGGTCTCACTGTCCCTGCTGCCCAAGCTCTGCCTTTAGCAAGGAGCAGGGGCAAGAGGCGGGGGGCTGTTCACAGGGCAGACAAAGAGCGTGGGCGTGTCCACCCTGGGGGAAGGCTGGTCTCCGCACCGGGCACTTCAGCAGAGAAGGGCTAAGGCTGCTACTACCCAGCCTGGGGAGAAGGGGCTGGGGAAGCAACGAGAAAGAGGCTCCTGTGTTCCGTTATTGGCGCCTTGGCCTCTGTGCCTCCTTTGAATTTGGCGCCCTGCCTTCTGATTGGCTTATTTTAGCAGCCAATAAACGCGTAAAACTTTGCCGGCTCGTGAGGCTAACCAATCCGGGGGAGACATTCGTCTGGGCTGCCCACCAATGGCAGAGCGCAGCGTCACTGGGCAGGGGGCTGGGTCTGGCTCTCCGCCGGAGACTATAGACACATCTATCTTTTTGTAATAAAAAGCGAGTGGGTGAAGGGTCGGCTCAAGACGAGCGCGCTTCGCCTCGCCACCAGGCAGCAGTTCCGGCTCTGGCGCTAGAGCCTGGGCGTAGCTCTGTGAGCGGGCCGCTGAGCCGCGTGCTTCGCTCCCACTTTCACGCGCCATGTCCGGCCGCGGTAAGAGCGGCGGCAAGGCCCGGGCTAAGGCTAAATCTCGCTCGTCCCGCGCGGGCCTGCAGTTCCCCGTGGGGCGCGTGCACCGGCTGCTGCGGCGCGGTCACTACGCGGAGCGGGTGGGCGCGGGCGCCCCGGTGTACCTGGCCGCCGTGCTCGAGTACCTGACGGCGGAGATCCTAGAGTTGGCGGGCAACGCGGCGCGGGACAACAAGAAGACGCGCATTATCCCGCGGCACCTGCAGCTCGCGGTGCGCAACGACGAAGAGCTCAACAAGCTGCTGGGCGGGGTCACCATCGCGCAGGGCGGTGTCCTGCCCAACATCCAGGCCGTGCTGCTGCCCAAGAAGGCGGGCGGCGGCGGAGCCGGGCCGGCCAAGAGCGGCAAGAAGGGCAGCAGCCAGCAGTCCCAGGAGTACTAGGGCCGGCCACGCGCCGCCGGCGGAGACTCACCCCCCCCCCCCCAGGCCCTTTTCAGGGCCGCCCCCAGGGCTCAGCCGTAGGAGCTGCGGATCCGTAGGCTGCTCGAGCCATCAGCGGGCTCCTGGGCGGGGAGAGCGCGAGCCCCCCCGCGCCTCAAGCGGGGTTGAAGGAGTCAGGCTTTCCCGCCCTCGCACGGCGCTGGGGGGTGGGGGGGAGGAGAATTAGAGGCGTAACAGCCGCGGCGTGGAAGACTCCCTTGGGTGCGAGTGGGGAAGCTGCGTGGGGGCCTCCCGCCCGGAGACCCCTTGTACGAATCGCGAGGAGCCCCGGCTTAGGCTCCCTACCGCTGCGCACGTGCCTGGGGCAGCGCATAGCTCCAGCTTTAACAGTAAACTCAGCTGCTACCCCGAACCCCATTGTTCTGCCCCTTCCGGTGAAGCTGCTGTGTGCAAAGCCCTAGTGGCAGAGGAGGCTGCCGCGGGGTCTCTTTTGCTCTGCAAAGGCATGGTCCACCCCTGATATCCATTTGACTCCTGCCTACCTGAGATGTTTCAACATTAGCAATGCAAAGACTCGTGCAAGCGGTATCCACGTTTACAGGTTGAAGTGTCGCCCCCTGAGCTTTGCTGCTCCTGGATCCTTTAAGTAACTTCATATGGTACCGACAGAGGACTGGAAAAAAAAACATATCAGAATACAGCTGTAGAACTAACTGCACCACTGTATGAATTGCCTGAAAAGTGTTTTTTTTAGTTCCTTTTTGCTGTTTGTTTACCTGTTTTAACTGCTCTGAAAAATTGTATATCTACATATCTTGTTTTTAAGACAGAGGGCATCTTTTGCATCAGATCATGCACAACAATCCAAAACGTAAACTAACAAGCTCTCAGCCTCTTGAGTGGAAGAAGGCTTTCACTTATATCAGCAGTTGTGTGACTTTATTGATGTGCTGTACAATTTTGTCTGCAATGTTACAACTATTTACTAGTTTGATTCTGCAGTGACACTATACTTTGTTTGACCTGTTTCAACAGACAGCATCTGCAACCAGAAGCTCAGTACAGCCACTGCAGGATCAAACCAGAGAAAATTCTAGGTTTTGTACAAACTTGTAGTTAACAAAACAGCAACCATTTCTCTTTCAGCTGTGTCCTTTCACTGGACACTGCTAAATCTGTTGTAGTAGCCTTTGTAACTTCCTGTACATCCCAGAAAATGTAGAAATTGTGTAATAAAATATGGGGTGACCTGCTATTTCTGTAGCATATTCTATGCACGGGTGGTTCAGTGGTCAGAAATTGTGTTAATATGTACATGCCTAAAGAAAAATAAGGCTTTAAATGGGTATGGAAACAATTCCTTTCATAAGTGAAGTACCGTTAATGGATGTTGCATACATACTGAAACAACCTGTTGTTTCATTTACAAAACACCATATTTGCATTTTACAATTTAAAAGATTTCTAGAAGACACTAGTAGTGGCTTGTAAGATGAAGGAGATGAATCACTAGTTGAAATGCATATCCTACTAATGTAAAAGGAACAGGCTATTGAGTTTGAAAGGATTAGAGTGTAAGGGCAAGGGTGGGTAAACTGCAGGCCTGCTGGCTGTTTTAATTCAGCCATCCAGCTCTTGCTGGGGAGCAGGGCCTGGGGCAGAGGTGGGCAAACTATGGCCCATAAACCACATCCAGCCCCTGAGACTGTCCTGCCCAGCCTTTGAGCTCCCCACGGGGGAGGCTAGCCCCCAACCCCTCCCCTGCTGTCCCACCCTTCCCCTGCAGCCTCAGCTTGCTGTGTCACCAGTGCTGTGGGTGACAGGGCTGTGAGCCACGGGCCTGCCCTGGTGCTCTAGATGGTGTGGCTGGCTCTGGCTGGGCAGTGCAGGTGCCAGTCCTGGTGCTCTGAGTGGCATGGTAAGGGGGAGCGGAGGGGTTGGATAAGGGGCAATCAGGGAGCAGAGGGTGGTTGGATGGGGCAGAAGTGGGGGGAGGGTCCACAGAACAGAAAGGGGGGGGTTGGATGAGCATAGGGGGCCTGTCAGGGTGTGGGAGGCACAACCTACCCTACCTGGCTCTCCATACAGTTTCAGAACCCCTGATGTGGCCCTCAGGCCAAAAAGTTTGCCTATGCCTGGTGTGGGGCTTGCCCTGCGCTGGTGTTCAAGCAGGGGCAAAGGGGCTTCTGCTGTGCACTGCCCTGTCCAGAGGTGCTGCCCCTGCAGCTCCCCATTGGCCAGGAACTGTGTCCAATGGGAGCTGCAGGGGCAGTGCCTGTGGACAGGGCAGTGCACAGCAGAACTGCCTGGCCACACTTCTACGTTGGAGCTGGAGTGGGGACATACTACTGCTTCAAGGAGCTGCTTGAGGTAAGTACTGCCTGAAGCGTGCACACCTGAGCCAAGCCCCTGCCCCAACCCTGATCCCCTTCCCACCTTACAAATCCCTCAGTCCCAGCCCAGAGCACCCTACTACACCCAAACTCCCCCATCCCCAACCCAGAGCCCTCCTCCACTCCGCCCCCAGCACTCCAGCCCCCTCCCACACCCTGAACTCATTTCTGACCACAACCCTAGGTAGAGCCTTCACACCCCCACCCTAATTTTGTGAGCATTCATGGCCTGCCATACAATTTCCATTACCCATATGTGGCCCTCAGGCCAAAAAGTTTGCCCACGCCCCTGTAAGGGAATAGGTCTTATTTCAAACCTATTTTAAAAAGTCTAAGTTGATACTAACGAACTTTCCTTACACTATGTTGCACCTGTAGACACCTGTGCTTGGTTATGGTTAATTCAATCTGGCAATGAATACGCTAATGGTTTTTTAAATAAGTTCAATTAGTATTGATTTATATGGCAGTGAATAAACATTTGTCCAAGCATCATCCATAACAGATGCCTTACGAGCAGAAACATTGGTGGTTCTGTTTAAATATAAGTACAATGGTGGTCATCAAGGGCCTTATTTGGCACCTAGTAATCAGTTGCCAGTTATTGAAAGGCTCAGGATGAAGCCCAAAGGAGGTATGTGTACAATAGACTACACTCCAGGAGGAGATCGATCTAAATTACGCAGCTTCAGCTACATGAATAATGTAGCTGAAGTTGACGTGCTTAGATCTACTTACCACAGGGTCCACACTGTGCTAGGTCTCCTGTTAACTCCCCTTGCACTTCTCATTCAGGTGGAGTACAGGAGTTGAGCAATCTGAAGTTAATTTAGTGGGTCTTCACTAGACCCGCTAAATTGACGACAAATGCACTGATTACCACACACTGATCCCTGGTAAGTATAGGACAAGCCCTCAGATAAAGGGCACCCTATGTCCCTTACCATTTTAGCATTATTTCTTGTATTGAATATCAGAGGGTAGCCATGTTCATCTGTAACCACAAAAACAACGAGTCCAGTAGCACCTTAAAGACTTAACAAATTTAATAATAAAATAATGCCCGCATCTGTAATTTTCACTCCATGCATCTGAAGAAGTGGGTTTTTACCCATGAAAGCTTATGCCCAAATAAATCTGTTAGTCTGTAAGGTGCCACCAGACTCCTTGTTGTTTCTTGTATTGAATTATTCTTGTTACTGTATTCAAAATAGCTTGCTTATAGTTTTGGGGTAAACAAGTTGCTGAAACAAACCACCCAACTGCAAACTGGACTGTATCCTCTGAACAGGCATAACTACTCAAAATACAGAGTTTAATATTTTAAGTTTTGTTTTCAGATCCACAAGTAAAGGAAAATGGGATGTAAGTGTAAAATAAGAGACTCCGCCTAAGGAAGGATGACAGTGCAGCAGCCAAGTCCATGTTTTTTTCTGTCTAACTTCTGACCATGCAAGAATCATGCCAACTGCAAGAGCAGCTGCTGCTGCGTGGGAATGATGTGTCTATCGGGCATCATTGAGCTGCCTTGCAACACTGAGGATATGCTTAGCACCCTTGCTCAGCAGTAAGCTGGCTAGTTCGACACCCAGGTTTTCTGCAGCCTCTTGAGCATGACGAGGAATCTTCTTGGCTGTGATGCCAACATACTGTGTATCATCATTGGGTCCTTCTTGATTCTAAAAATAAAAAAAAGGTACTGAATGTGAAACAGCAGGGAAACCTGGGTGTTAAACAGTAGGTTTCCATATACATTTTTGTAAGCCTTATCAGAGAACATTGTAAAGAAGATGTCATAAAAATAAAGGGAAGACTAACCACCTTCCTGTATACAGTGCTATAAAATCCCTCCTGGCCAGAGACAAAACCCTTTCACCTGTAAAGGGTTAAGAAGCTAAGATAACCTTGCTGCAAAATGACCAATGAGGAGACAAGATACTTTCAAGTCGGGAGGGGGGGGGAACAAACCGTCTGTCTGTCTGGGTAATGCTTTTGCCGGGAACAGATCAGGAATGCAGTCTCAGAACTTCTTTTAGTTAGTAAGTAATCTAGCTAGAAATGTGTTAGATTTCCTTTTGCTTAATGGCTGGTAAAATAAGCTGTGTTGGATGGAACGTATATTCCTGTTTGTGTGTCTTTTTGTAACTTAAGGTTTTGCCGAGAGGGATTCTCTATGTTTTGAATCTGATTACCCTGTAAGATATTTACCATCCTGATTTTACAGAGGTGATTCTTTTTTTTTCTTTAATTAAAATTCTTTTAAGAAGCTGATTGATTTTTCATTGTTCTTAAGATCCAAGTATTTGGGTCTGTGTTCATCTGTACAAATTGGTGAGGATTTTTATCAAGCCTTCCGCAGGATAGGGAGTGTAGGGCTTGGGGCGATATTTTGGGGGAAGACGTCTCCCAAGTGGGCTCTTTCCCTGTATTTGTTTAAAACACGCTTGGTGGTGGCAGCATAGGGTTCAAGGCAAAGTTTGTACCTTGGGGAAGTTTTTAACCTAAGCTGGTAAGAATAAGCTTAGGGAGTCTTTCATACAGGTCCCCACATCTGTACCCTAGAGTTCAGAGTGGGGAAGGAACCTTGACAGAAGACTAAAGATTTTAAGGACTGGACTGAAGGAAATATGTTAAAAGGCCTGTTTTTGTCTTTTTCATTTGACTTGAAATTTGAAGGTTAAAACCAACTGAAATTAAGAGGCATTTATTTATTTACCTGCTGTGGATAGTTAACACCAGTCTGCATAGTGTCCTTCAGGCTATCTGATCCATCCAAGCTGTAAACAGCTCCTGTCAAATACAACTGGGCAAAACACAATAAAGGTATATGGCATCTCTGATGACCAACCCAACCATCCCCTTTTTAAAAATTAAGATTTCTGGTCTGAGGAGGAAACTAATAAGAATTGGGGAAACCATTCTGCCATTGACTCCCATGTGCCGTTGGACAAATTGCTTCCTTTCTGGCTCAGTATAGGCTTACAGGTGTATTTTGAGGCTTACCAAGATCCTATGATTAAAGGGGCTAGTCATGTCACATTGTTGATCATCATGGGAGAGCAATCTGTGTGCTTTAGGAAAGGTACAGGCACAAGCATGGATGTAACCCAACTGTTACATTCCTTAATGGGCCGAAAAGGGTTGCTGTTCTGTCATGGGAAGCTTGCAAGCATGTTGCCTCCACAACCCTCCTTGCCCAAGAGGTAGGAGACAAGTACCATTTGTTTGAAACCATGGTTTCTTCTTAGAGTGCTTGTTCATGTAGATTCCAATCAGGTGTGTGTGCATGCACATGCACAGTAGCTGGAAGATTTTTCCCTAGCAGCAACCGAAGGGTCAGCCTGGGAGCCCCCGGCGTCGCGCTTTCATGGCACCCAACATAGAGCCCTGCCGACCCGCCACCCCCTCAGTTCCTTCTTACTGCCAGTCACAGTAACTGTAACTTCCCTTGCTCTTGCTCCGGCAAGTGACCTAGCAGTTCGATTCCTGTTGTACTCACCTTGTTTATTCAGATAGTGTGGTGTAGTTTAGTATAGTTAGTTGTAAGTTTCATTTATGGGGGTTCCCCCCCCACCCCACCCCTGTTTCCCTCCTTTATTTGTTGCCTCTGGGGCATGCCGCGATCCCCAGGCTTCAAGACCTGCAAGGACTGCACAAAGTGCATGTCAAAAAGTGACTCCCACACCTCCTGTTTACAGTGTCTGGGCGAGAGTCTCCACAAAGACTGCTCTAAAATCTGTCAGGAATTCTGACCAAAAACCCTGAAAGAAAGAGAGCAGCAGCTTAAAATCCTCTTCGTGGAGGCAGCTTTTCGACCGCAGTTGGACCCCAGTGCCGGGGATCCCACCACCAGCACATCATCTTCAGCACAAAGCGCGCCGGCGCCCTCTTCAAGAGACCAGGTGCTGAAGAAAGACACGGCCAAGGACTCTAGGCACCGTCATGGAGCGTCTTGGGAACGCTCCAGCCTTTGGCACCGGTCCCAATCGCCGGTGCAGAAGAAGAGGAGGATCAAAAGCGGCCAACCTCCTTTCCCTAGATCCAGAGACCAGCCATCAGTGGCACCAAATGCAATGAACAGCGGTACTTTGTTCCCTCCAAGGGCTATGAACATCTACACACTCACTCACAACCTGACTCTGGTGGTGGACGCTGCTAACCAGCAAGAGAGGCAGAGTTTCCAGGGCCCTTCCCCCAAGAATAGGGATGCAAAAATCTGACCCATTCAGCCAGAAGATTTACGCCACAGGGGGACTGCAACTCCACATTTCCAACCAACAGGCCATTGTCAGCAGGTACGCCTACAATACTTGCTCAATGACGGCTAAGTTTAGAGTTACCTCCCTTGGACTCCTGAGCTGAATTCTCAGCTTTGGTTGAGGAAGGGAGATTGATCTCCAGGGCAGAGTTGGGGCATTCCCCAGATAGACCTATTCTTCATGCAACACAACAGGAAGTACCAGCAGTTCTGCTTCTTCCAGAACCACAGCCCAGGCTCCAGAGCGGACATGTTCCTCCTCCACAGGGGATGTTGTCTCCTGTATGCCTTTCCGCCTATACCACTGGGTCACAGGGTGCTCCTTAAGATCTGGAGGGAACAAGCTCAGGTTATATTGATGGCTCCAGTATGGGACCAACAGCACTGATACACATCTCTCCTAGACATGTCCATGGAAGCTCTGATCACCCTGCCGCTCTTCCCGGACCTTCTGCCACAAGATCACGGCCGTCTTCAACATCCGAGCCTCGACTCGCTTCACCTCACAGCATGGAAGCTCTATGTTTGAACCCAATGGAGCTTTCCTGTTCAGACCAGGTTAGACAAGTCCTCCTTGGCAGTAGAAAACCCTCTACGAGAGCCACCTACCTTGCCAAGTGGAAGAGATTTTTAATCTGATCGGCACAGCGCCATTCGTCTCCGACGCTGGCCCCAGTGCCGCTTATTCTGGACTGCCTCCTCCATCTGAAGCAGCAGGGGCTTCCATTGTCATCGATAAGAGTGCACTTAGCCACCATCTCAGCCTTTCACCCGAACAAGGAGGGCCGCTCTGTGTTTGTTAACCCTATGGTCAGCTGCGTTTTAAAAGGGCTCAACAGGCTATACCCTAACATCCGACAGCCTGTCCCTGCCTGGGACCCCAACCTGGTCCTTTCTAGGCTAATGGGACCGCCCTTTGAGCCCTTGGCAACGTGCTCCCTCCTCTCTCTCTCTCTCTCACTCTCACACAAGGTGGCATTCCCGGTGGCTAGGAGGGTGTCTGAACTCAGAGCCCTAACCTCAGAGCCCCCTTATACCGTGTTCTATAAGGAAAAGGTGTAGCTCAGACCTCATCCTGGTTTCCTCCCGAAGATTGTGTTACAGTTTCACATCAACCAGGACATCTTTCTCCCAGTATTCTACCCTGAGCCACATTCCAGCAGCAGGGAGCAGAGACTACACACTCTGGATGTCCGCAGCATGCTAGCCTTTTACATAGAGAGAATGAAAGCATCCAGAAAATCGGTCTAGTTATTTGTGGCAGTGGCGGATAAAATGAAAGGACTGCCTGTATCTTCACAACGCATTTTGTCATGGATAGCGTCCTGTATTCATGATTGCTACAACTTGAGAGGGGTTCCTGCACCCCCAATCAGTGTGCACTCAACCAGGGCACAGGCTTCATCAATAGCATTCCTGGTGAAGGTCCCCACTCAGGAAATATGCAGAGCAGCGACATGGTCCTCTATCTACACTTCCACCACACACTATGTGATTTCTCAGTAGGCCAGAGACTATGCGGTCTTCGGACGAGCAGTGCTCCAATCAGTGGACGACTCCAACCTCGCCTCCTGAACTTGGGCTTGAGAGCCACCTGATTGGAATCAACATGAACAAGCATTCAAAGAAGAAGAAAAAAGAGTTACTCACTTTCTCGTAACTGTTGTTCTTCGAGATGTGTTGTTCATGTCCATTCCAATACCCACCCTCCTTCCCCTCTGTCAGAGTAGCTGGCAAGGAGGAACTGAGGGGGTGGCAGGTCGGCAGGGCTCTATATTGGGCACCATGAAGGCGCGACTCCAGGGGGTGCCCTGGCTGACCCTACAATTGCTGCTAGGGGAAAATCTTCCGGCTACCGTGCACGCATACACCTGGTTGGAATGGACATGAACAACACATCTCGAGAAACAACAGTTACGAGAAGGTGAGTAAACTTTTTTCCTGCATGACAGCAACCTGTATTTCAGTCAGGCTTCCTTTCTGCAGGGTAGTGTTTATATTTAATCTTGGGGAAGTTTTATCAATTATTTATCAAAGGAATAGGCTTTCTAGCCCCAGAAAAAGGCTTATCTACAGAATGGATGACAATCACCACTCATAATTATTGAGGGTAAATTAGAAGACTGCTAAGCCCTGTCCACAAAGTTCCATCATGTTTTCCCTGACACAGGGATTTTTTTCTTCTTCTTAGCTGTGTTACTGCTACACTTACATAAGAACGGCCATACTGGGTCAGACCAAAGGTCCACCCAGCCCAGTATCCTGTCTGCCGACAGTGGCCAATGCCAGGTGCCCCAGAAGGAGTGAACCTAACAGGTAATGATCAAGTGATCTCTCTCTCCTGCCATCCATCTCCACCCTCTGATAAACAGAGACTAGGGACACCATTCCTTAGCCATCCTGCCTAATAGCCATTAATGGACTTAACCTCCATGAATTTATTTAGTTCTCTTTTAAATCCTGTTATAGCCCTAGCCATCACAACCTCCTCAGGCAAGGAGTTCCACAGGTTGACTGTGCGCTGTGTGAAGAACAACTTGTGTCGGCCTCGGTTATTTGACACCGCCCTACACAATGTTGTTTTGGTGGACTCAGCGTGGAGATGGCAAGGCTGTCCTCAGCTGCCAAGTATGCTTGCTGGAACTATTTTCAGGTGGCAGGGAAAAAGTGCATGTTGGAAAAATGTTCAGTGATGAACTCAAATAAAATACATTAAGTTCTTCTCACCTGGGAGTCTTTCAGCATGGTACTGACTGCTACAGGAACGCTACATCCACCCTCCTGAAACAGAAAGCACAGCAAACAGGTAAAAGTTGATGTCAAGGTTCCTATGTGACCCACCATGTCAGGACCTTTTGAAAAGCCTGTAGAACACAGACTCAGCTGTCATTCAGCCATGTACAGAAGAATAACCAGTGAACAGACACTTGAATCTAGTCTGTATTTAGCAGTTGTGGTAATGAAAACTAGGAGGTTTCTGATACCATGGTGTTGATTTAACAATACTACGTAAGCATTTACTACTTCTCCTAGGGAGGAATTGGACAGAAAAGTGATGGTACCAAACCTACCAAGTGTCTCATAAAGGCTCTCTCGGCAATGCAGCACAGCACCGTTTCTGCATCATGCAAGGCGGATACCATATCCAATATCTCTTCGTCTCTAGCTCGGACCTCTACTGCTAAGGCACCCTGAAGGAAGAGAGAAACACTGTCCCCAGTCTTCATGCATCTCTAGTCTGCACTCTATTCGTCCCAAACCAATGAACCTGCATGACTTAGAGGCGTTTCCACTGTCGTGCTCTACCCCCTACACACACACAAATGTCATTGCTATAACATATGCATATATACATGGCAACAAGATGAGACCAGAAAGAAAAAGCTGAACATTACTAAACAAGTGAGCTGCAGGATCACAGCTTCAGACTGATTCTTATCAGCTTGTTCTATATAGATGCTGACTCCTAATTGCATTAGTATGCTCTTGAAAGGCCATGTCTCAAGAGTAGAATGATCACTTATAACAGTGATGAGGTGCTAGCCTTTAATTAACAACTGCAGTACACTTCCCAAATGTAGCATGCATATAGAACAGCAGCCAGAAAAGGTGCAGAGTTGAAAACACAGTTGAAATGTTTGGTTGTTACACAGCAATCGGCTACTCAGCTGGCTTTTCATAGCATACCTGCCCAACAGCATAAAGGCAATCTTCAGGGTTTAATATCTGGAGAAAAAGCAAAGATTAGTTAATATGTTGTAATGCTAAACCCAAGATTATGTAAAATTTTTATTTAAAAAGCTCCAAAGAGCAGCAATTTAGGATGAGACTGAAATTATTTTCCATAAAGGAAGTGCAGTACAATGGTTATAGCAAGGAACTGGGAAGTAACAACTCCTGGGTTCTATTCCCAACTCCATACTACCTAGGGATGGTCATGCCCCAGCCCTGTGCCTCAATTTTCCCATCCATAAAATGGGTATAATGGTACTTATTTCATTGGAGGTTGTAATGTTTTATCAGAATTATCGATGTTTTTAAAGTGCCTGTTCATGAAGGATTTGGGCACTATAAAGGGCTCTGAAGTTTTCAGATGGACAAATGTTATTGACACGTGGAAATAAGTATGCTGAATGTGTCTTTGGAAGGGAACTGCAGTGAGTGGAACCTTCACTCCAATGCAGCCTAATCTCAAGATAATGCATATATGGATTCAGAGCAGATGTTATGCTCGTCCATGATGAGGCAGCTAAGGTTCCTGAAGGGGAATGGGTTAAGGGTCTGGAAGTGAATGGAATTTCCCACTATGCTTCTCCTCACCTGACCAATACGATTCTCCCAGCCCATCCTCCTCAGTCCAGCAGCAGCCAGAATTATGGCACTGAAGTTGTCCTTTTCATCCAGCTTTTTCAAGCGGGTGTTTAAATTTCCTCTCTACATAAAGGGTTAAGTGAGAAGCACAGAAACAACAATCTCCAAATTGAAAAGGAGTATCTGTGGCACCTTAGAGACTAACCAATTTATTTGAGCGTAAGCTTTCGTGAGCTACAGCTCACTTCATCGGATGCAAGCTCACGAAAGCTTACGCTCAAATAAATTGGTTAGTCTCTAAGGTGCCACAAGTACTCCTTTTCTTTTTGCAAATACAGACCAACACGGCTGCTACTCTGAAATCTCCAAATTGGGACACTTTGCTTGCAGATCTTAACTCAGCCACTGGAGGCTGCTACTGCTGTAATCACCAAGGGCTGTCACTCCTGCAGCTCGTCAGCCTGCTCCCGTCCTCTCTGCTTGGGCCTTTCCTTCCTTATCTCTTGTCCCAGAGCAACAGCAGTTACTCCCCATAGGGGATGGGGTATGCAGCGTCATACACAAGCAGGTCAGACTTCTGGATCAAACATAGATCAACTACAGAACTTCCTTCTCTGAGGCTGTCTACACTACCGTGGTAAGTCGACCTATGCTATGCAACTCCAGCTATTTGTCTCTTGCATAACTGAGTTGAGGAACTATCCTGGAAAACTTGTTCAGATGGTGGCAACCATTACTGTAAGAAAAGAATGGAATTTTGCTGTGAGTTGTAAAGTAATCATTTGGACACTGGCTCTTTGGGGCTGGGACTGTGGACATGTCTCATGTAGCACTAAACATGTCAGCAGCTGACAAATAATTGTGCCTAATTAAAAAATAAGTTAAAGGGACAGAGACTGGGACAACAGAGCCTTTCACTGCTGGTCTGAATCCCACCAAAGCCATTAGTGACTGAATTGGAATGAGTTGTGTCTCTTATGCCAATTCCTCTTGTGAAGTGTATCTGCCTCTCAGATGATAGACTAATATTGGGCCCTTTCTCAGCAGAAAATACAGGGATTGAATGGGCCAGGGAGAGTAAACTCCTCTCACAGTAGTTTAGGAAGGCAGCATGAAGTTAGTTTGAGCAGAGGACAGGAAGCCTGGGTTCTAATCATAGCACCAAAGTGCTAGAGAAAAGCCAACTGTTATTCATTGAGATACCACTCCCGCACTCTGCCAGGAAAGGATACAATATCCCTAAATTCCAGCTGAGGGAACCGCCGTTTGAGCTGAGCTGCTCGCCGAAGTGAACTGGTTCCAATCACGCTTCAGAGGAAGCAAAGAAACAACAACAGTGAAACAATTAGATTCATTCACTCACCTTTAGCTGGGGACAGGTTAGGAGCTTCCAGGGAAACACACTCTACCTTTTTAAACTAGTCACAGAGCATTTGGGGATCTATCCAACATTCATAATGGCAGAAGGAAAAACTGAGAGATTTAACATGAGGCCTGACTAAATCTAGATGTAACCAGACTACCTGGTCTGCGAAACACAGTCTCTGTGGTAGGTTGTTAAGCCTTTGCAAAGCAGCCATTATGCCTTGTTAAGGATCTCTGAATCCTCAGTGGGCCACCATCTACAGAATGTAGCAATCCCCAAGCCTTATTTTCTCTTCAGATAAATGGAATAAAATGGTTTGGAAAGCAGGGACATCAGTCCTGGATCACAGAACACATGCCTGGGTGTGCAAGGTGAGGTCTGATAAACAAGTCCTGGAGAGTGCAGTGGGAGAGTTCTCTGGACAGCAAGGGGGACTGCCAGTCTGACCAGAGAGAAGACTATTTTCAAGGGATGTATGCTACTCACTTTTCTTTTTATCCCATAAAAAAGATGACAAGCCATCTCTACTTGAGGTTGTGAGAAGTGCAAATATACATCTGTGAAGCAAACAATTTCTTTTGTTTTATTTCTATTTTCTGTGTTTTAATTAAGATTACTGTCATCTGGGTAATTTCAACACAGACATCCCCAAAGAGAAAGGAGAGGGACTGAAAGTAAGTAATTTCTGGAACTTGTCCCCCCATCTCAGGGCTCGTACACACTAGTGCTTATATTGGTTTAACTTAAGTCACTAAGGGCTGTGAAAAGGCCACCCTACTGAGCGATGTGAGTTACAGCAACCTAAGCACCGGCGTGGACAGCGCTGTGTCAATGGGAGACACTCTCCCACCGACATAACCACTGCCGCTTGGGAAAGTGGAGTAATCATGCCGACGGGAGAGCTCTCTCCCGTCGGCATAGACTATCTGCACTAGGAGCGCTGCAGTGGCACAGCTACGTCGGTAGACCTACACTGCAGTAGCGATTCTAGAGTAGACTAGTCCTTAGTCTGAGTCATGAAGTGTGGACAGAAAAGTCTGCTCCTGCTGAATTGTGTTACCATCAGGGTGGATTAGGTGAATGCAACAGGAAAAGCCACAAGACCAAGGAGGAGAGGGAGTTGGCTGTGGTGTGGGTCACAAAAACACTGGGCCAAATTCATCCCTGCTTTAAGTCCCTTGAACTCGGTGGAGATAGAATAAAGCTGAATGGCCGCTGTGTCAGTCAGGAAAGGGAGGAGGATTTTAGTGTGCACGGTGCTTTGAAGATATTTAGCGCTAAGAATTCATTTTGGGGGTTGTGGAGGATTTAGAAAATGTCAGATCTCAAAGGATGACTGGAGAGATGAGAGGTCATGTCTCGCTCATTTATTCAACAGCAGTAATTCTTTCCCAGGTCATAGTGATAATTATGGTTCTGGGATTCTTATTAAGTTTTTATTCCTTTATTGCTAATTCCTACAAATGGTTCACTTTAACTTAAATGAAAAAAAACACCACCACACCACACTGAAAACACCTCTTCATCTGTGCAAAGGGCAAGGGACAGATCAGAGTCTGGATGTTAAATGTATTAACACAGGGAGTTCACAAAGAATAATGAAGAGCAAGCGGTTTTGGTGTTGAGAAGTCTAAGCCTATCCCTTTTCATCACTCCATTTGTTCAACAACACCTCTCCCATCCACTCACCTCTTTTCAGGAAGGCTGTTGAGGGTTTTCCCATAGTTCTTGGGATGAAAAACGACAGCATCATGGGGATTTTCCCTTCTGCAAAGGGATACAGTGTAGACAAGACATTATTCCATAGGATGTGGCTAAATGGAAACAGTTCTGCTCATGGTCCTTAGTGGAGGTGCCTCTAACTTCCTTATCTTTAATCCACTACAAGGAGCAGGTTTCAGAGTAACAGCCGTGTTAGTCTGTATTCGCAAAAAGAAAAGGAGTACTTGTGGCACCTTAGAGACTAACCAATTTATTTGAGCATGAGCTTTCGTGAGCTACAGCTCACTTCATCGGATGCACGAAATGAGCTGTAGCTCACGAAAGCTCATGCTCAAATAAATTGGTTAGTCTCTAAGGTGCCACAAGTACTCCTTTTCTTTTTACAAGGAGCACTTTCTTTTCCTTTTTCCATTTTTCCTTCTAATTAATCTAGAGCTGGTGAAGGTGCTGGTTTGACAATTCTGGACAGTCAGTTATCTACTCATCCACAGAGTAGGCACAGCACAGGCAGCGGAAGGGCAAGCTTCCCACAGGCACCACCTTCTGTCGACATGATTAAATCTGACCTGGAGCCCACCCAACCCTTCTTTAAGGAAGGGAGAGAGGGGTTCAGCCTTCATAGCCCATGGAATTTGGGCTCTCTCTCTCTCTTCTGAGGCAGGCAACAAGATGACAAGCACAGTGGCAAATTGTGCAGTACAGTTACCTACACAATGGGAAATAGATTGAGACTGACCAAACTCGTCACACAGGATGCCAACAGTAAAAATGGTCCCTCTGGGGATTTTAAAACCCCTCAGGAAGTCAGGCCTCTCAAGGCACTCTTACTTGCAGATGGCCCCAATGGTGAAGCCAGGCGGGAGCGAAGTTGGCAGGTCCTTCAAGGAGTGAACAACCAGGTCAACTCTACAAGTTAGAGGAGAGAAAAGTCAGAGCATGGTGTGAGTGAAGGAGCCCATGGGACACCTGCAAGATGCCTGCAGATGATCTGAGAAATAAAATTTCCACACTGGGCTTTAGTGTAGAAAGGGGGGCTGGAAATCAGGAATCTTGGGTTCTATTCCCAGTTCTTCTACTGATTCACTGTGCAACTTTAGACAAGTCTCTTCATCTCTCTGTGCCTCAGTTTTTCCATCTGTAACATTATGATATATATCTCCCGGGGCTGCTACATCATAAATATTTGCAAAATGATTTGAAGAGCCTGGTGTGGGTGCTGAAGACCTATACGCACATTGCACAGACACCCATCAACCTTGCAGTACACAGAGCTCAGTGGGATCAGATATCCCAGTCAGATTTAAATAACTATTTTTCAGTAGGCAGCAACCCAGAGCTCAAGCTGCCTGCATCACTTCATACCACTGACATGGCCATCAAAAAAGGGCTTGAATCCTTGCAGCCTGAACTCACTGGGAGTCTTTCCACTGACTTCAGTGAGAGTTAGATCAGGCCCTTAGATGACAAGGACTCAAAGGGGAATCTTTAATTTTAATCCAAATTGAGATAAGTCCCTCAATCCATGTGCATCCCATACCCTAGCTGTAACATGAGGTAAAAAACAGCAATCTCCCTCAGTCACAACTGACATCTGAACCAAGGTTTCCCACAGAAATAAGTTACCCCAAAAGAGCCTTAATCCTAATGCTTCCGGTTCTCCTGCACTGTTGGCAGTGAGTACAATTAACAGGCGGGAGGCTTTGGAGACTGTTTAATGCCCAGCTCTGAATCTGAGGCATCTACTGAAATTTCTGTATTCAAACTGTACGTGACCACTCAACGATGTGTATGTAACAAATAATACTGTTGCTCTAAAAATACCACAGGTTGCAGGGCATTGGTTCAACCAACTGATTGACGTGACCCATGACTTGTCATGGCATTACTGATTGACATGACACATTTTTTCTTTCAGCCACGTAAGCGCAACTAAAACAGTCAGGGAAGGAGACAGACTATGGATAGCACATTTCACAAGCCTATCATTCTCCAAAATGTTCTAAAAGAAGTTTGAATTACAAACAAGCCACTAGGGTGTGAATGTTTGTCTTGATTTCAGATGCAGACAGAATCTGCAGCACTGCCCGGGCCATTCCATGGCCTGCGGTAAGCAAGAGAAAGGATCAGAGCTCTTACTCATTTCTTTCCAGTGCATTTTCCAACTCCTTGGTAAAGAGGCTCTTCTCTCCAATCTAAATAGGGAGGGAGGAACATGAAGCATATTACCAACGTAGTCACATATAGTCTCACTCAATTCAAAGGAGGAAGAGGTCATTTACCTTGGAAAGAGCCGTGTCCAGGATCTTGTCTCCAGTTGTTGACATGGCAACTGTTCAAAGAGAGAGCTTTTTAAGAGCAGCAATACAGAGAGATCAGATAGGCCCAGACTCTGTAAGTCTCTGCGTGGTATGCAGCAAAAGGGTACATGGCTGCTGCATTGTAGTGCAGGTGTGAATGCAGGCTCCATGTAGCAGGAATATTCTAGGAGTACTCTGCTCTAAGCAGGAGTAAAGATTAGGTCTCCTGGAAGTGTGCTGCCTTATTCCCAAGAGCACAGAGTAAGAAAAGGGAAGGCCATGAGAGTGTATCTAAGGACAGTAGTTTTAAGCAGGATCCTCATCACACTAACAAGACACTTTGCTTTGAGCACCTTCTCTGGCCTCACTCCTGCTACTAGGCAGGTGCTCAGCAGCCGTCCAATCAATGTAGCATTGGGGTCCTGACTGCGCCCTGTCTGGTTGATATAATTTTTTACTTATGCACTTGAACATGAACATATGGTGCATCTGGCTTGGAGCTAGACTAATACATGGTTACTCTATGGAGTGACAGTATCATAATCTGTATAGAAACTCAGGAACTCAATGCTCAGCGGTACATGGAATCCATCCTCTCCTTGCTCTGCAGACATTAGCATCTCTTGCTCAGTCACGTGAGCCTAACTGGATGGAACTGATCTGGATTCTCCACTTATGCAAACGCTGCAATCTCTCTTCCTTGGGCCAAGGGCTTCTTGCATAACAGATTTAATAATTTTATTAAGATGATGTTAAAATAAAAAGAAAACGGTACAGAGTTTAAGCATAGAAGTTTCTGGTTATCAGGGAATAAGGTACAGATTATCAAGGGGTGTGAAATTCGGTTTAGGATTGGGTGGCGTAAGGAATACATAATCTGCAATATGCCCGATTGGGGGTAAAAGGTTAACGGGTCAAAGTACAGACATTGAGATATGGGGGTATGTTGTTCATATAATGGCTATGTTCAGGTGTGGAGTATAATGAGTGGATACGATGATGAGGACGGATTTACCCTCATTTGGTGAGATTTAATGTTCAGTGAGTTTATGGTTCTAGTTCATATGGTCCAATGGGAAAAGTCTCTCGGTCCCTTTCTCATAGCTGATGCAGGATGTCGTTACGCATCAAACCATCCCACTCCAGCTGCTCCTTGCCTCTGAGCAGCATTTGAACACTTACCAATCTCAAAATGAAGGCTGAGGTATCGCTTGCGAAGCATTTCCACTACACTGTCTGTCTGAATCCGGGCCAGCTGCAGTTTAAAAACAGAAGGCAAAGTCCATTGTGAGATGGCATGCGTTCAGTACATCAGCCAAAAGAAGCTTTTCTATTCTTAGACATTGTCAAATGCACCCACCAAAGCCTCCAAAACACAAGCATTAATGGAAATAAATAGAAGTCTTAGCATAGTGCTACACAAAAACAAACCCTACCCCTGCATAATGATCACAACACCCAGCTGAAGAAAATATTACCATCCCTGCTTTACAGATGGAGAAACAGAAACAGAGTTGGAGTGACCTGCCCTCTGGTCAGAAAGTGAGTCAGTGGTAGGGTCAGAATTAGAGCACTGTAAAGACATAGCAGACAAAATGTCTTCAGTTAGAAGTAGTGGTTTAAACAGGGGACTGGAAGTTCTATTTTCAGCTCTCCCACTGACCTGCTATGTTCTGTGGCCAGTCATTTCAGCTCTTTGTGCCTCAGTGACATTATCTTTAAAGTGGAGACAGTACTTACCCACCTATCTGTGAAGTGCCATCACTGGGTGAATGGAACTAAAGAAACACAATGATGTGCTTTTGTAATTTTTAAAGTGAGTCAGACTGAGCATTGTGCACAGTGCTAGAGAATAGGTCTTGCAGTAAGGGGCACCCATTGTTATAAGAAAGCAGACTAAATAGCCTGGTGATTCCCACCTCAATGAGTGATGAGCTAAAATGCAGCATATCTGCTGTGTGCTTTTTATGAATGCTAAACTTTACCATTGCTGCGTGATTCTGCAAGGAGCCAAGATTAAGATTTGTCTGCAGGAATTGTGATCTATATGAGCAGAGGTATGTCCGAAAGTTGTGCAAAAGGAGAACAGACAGAGCAAACCGCAGGGTTTGGAGGCTGCAAAAGGCCCTGGTACCTGTAGATGGGACACATTTAATTTACACTCTGGAAGGGGGAGGATCACATAAAATAGTCCAGTCCACCACCACTATCCTACTCAAGCAGAAGGCAGAGGATCCCTCCATAGATCCTGACCTTGTGAGAGGCAATGTAGTCTAGTAGTCACAGCTGAAGATGAACCAGGAAGCCTAGTTTCTAATCTTTCTCTGCTACTGATGCTCTGAGTGGCCCTGGGCAAGTCATGGGTTTCCACATGCGTAAAATGAGTCCAACAAACTTCCCCTTTGTAACGTGCTGTGAGATTCTGGGTGAAAGGCACAGGTGCTATAAGTGCAAAGTGTTGATAATGATAATTCTTAACAATAGATTAGGAGATCACACACGGAGGAGAAATGCAACGTCCCACCCTTCAATGCCCATCTGTGTCATCTTCTAGCCTCCCACAAAGTACAGAGCCATGCCTGCGCCTAACTTCCAGAGTAGGCAAGATTATCTCAAAACAAAGGCCCAAGACACATTTATCTCTCTTTGCAAACTTGCTCTTCCCAGCTGCAGCTAGATAGCAAGAAAGACCCAATGTATTTCCTATATCCTCCCTCCCAGGCCTTTGTGAGCATCAACGCACCCGAAGTTTTGCCTCCATATAAGATATTTGGTTATTGGATATAGCAAAATGAAGACACAAAGGGATTCTACTGAAAGAGGAGTGCAATCACCTCCTTGTTTTTTGAGCTACTCCATGAGCTTGGTGCTGATGGAATGTGCCAACTGACAGCCATTGGGACTAAAGTTCTGTTTATTCAAAATAGATACAGTCCAGGTGGCATCAAGGCAAGCTTGTTCCACATAGCTGTAAAAACCATGCCTCAGCCCCGACATGGAGGGATCCCCTGTAGGAGAGCTCAGTCTCACGGCCCATTGAATCTCAGGCCTTCCTACGGGGACTGCCAACAAGGAGGTCTATTACAGTGCAACTCTGATGACAGAATAGTTATTTCTAATTCATAGAAGTCACTCTTTGGCAAAGATATCGTTACTCCAGTCTAGGGTCTGAGGAGGACTTGGGCTTTTGGTTTGAGAAAGATAGCTCATCTGCATAAACAAATATAAGTAAATTTATTTCCATCTAATAATACTTTGTGCTTAACACAAGGATCTTAAGGTGCTTTACTAATATGAATGAATGAAGCCTCATGCCCCAGACCTTCTGTGAAGTATCCACAAATTGTCCCCATTTTACAGATGAGAAAATGGCAGCACAGTTAAATAAAGAGCTAAATTTTCAAGAGCGTCCACTACTTTGGGTGCCCAAACTTGAAACATCTGGATCCCAATTTCCATCTGCACGTTCTAGTGACTTGAGGTAAGAAAACTCAGCACCTCTGAAAATCAGGTGCTCGGTACGTAAGACCTGGGCACCCAAAATCTAGAAGCCACTTTTTTGAAGATGTGGCCCTAAGAGACTTGCCATAAATCACACTGTGTCAGTGGTAGAGACGGGAACAGAACAAGGGAATACTGATTCCTAGTCTTTCACTCTGACCACTAGACAACACTTCCCTATTGAACAGGAAACCTGATAGATGCTGGACTTCATTTGGGTTTAATCTATAAATAACAGAGATACACACTTATTTCCAGAGGGTAACTGCTGTACATCATATTTTTAAAGTTAAAATCAGCCACCCAGATTTTCTGCTTTTAGGAGATGCAGCTATAGGGTTCTCAAGTCACAATTGTCCCCATTGAACAGAGACTCAGCAATATGGCCATACCAGAAAAGAAGCTAATACAATAGGCAAAAACTCACCTGACTCTTCCTGGTGCCCACTCGGATAACTCTGTTTTTCAGGCCATTTTCATCCTATGAACAATGTGTTTCACATATTTTAAAAATTAAAGCAAATCCCCCAAATCCATAATTGTGCAGGTTTTCTTTCCAGTGCTGTCTGCCAACTGAAAGCTCATTCCACCGCAGCTAAATGTGTTTCCCAAGTGGCAACCGCATCTTCCTAAACTGAGCAAAATATCAAATATTTAAACTAACACACGAGAAGGTTTGCAAAGAGTATAAACTCCTGTTGGGAAATGTGCAGCACTCCCAGAAGGCACTCACTGTCTTGCAGTATTGGACCCTAGAGCTCAATTCTGTGAGCACTAGCAGACATAGCACACACTACTGTGAACAGTCCTACTGACTTTTGTAGTAAGCGTTTGCAGGATTGGAAATCATGTGTTGTATTATTAAGTTCATAAATGTTCTGCTATTCACAAAAAGTCATTAAGAAAAACACTTAGTCCTTATATAGAACTTTTCACTTTCAAAATGCTGTGCAAACATTAACTTATATCTGCATATTTATGGAAGTCTTTACAAAATGATCAAACTTTTAACTTAATTAATACCCAGCTAGGACTGATCTATTCAGTAAATGGCAGAATTAGAGGGATAAGTGGTATAATCCCTTTACTCTCTCACCCTCTCCTTTTGATTTAAGCACTATATTTCAACTAAGACAAACAGTGCAGAGACCACAACCTTAGGTACCTTTTACTTGTAATTGTTTTCTAAAAATGGGAAAGTAATATTGTTTGATTTTTGTTTTCTCCCACCCCCTTAAAACTGTAAAGGGAAGGTGAGTAGATTTTAAGCCTGACCTATTAAATTATCCCGACAGATTTGCAGAGCTGAGATATACACATTATTTTATTACGAGATATACAATTACCATGAACAATCTAAGCCCTGACGAATGCAAAGTCTGTTCCTTTACCTGAGTGCTCCTCAGTGTCTTGTTCTCCATTGCTATGGACTTTTCCAACCCCAATGCCTGTTATGTGAAAGAGAAGAAGACGCTCCTTGAACTGGGAAAGAGGAGAGGAGGGACGTTATTGCCTCAGCTGCCTAGCACAATGTGTGCCAGACCATGTGCTAGAGAGAAGGGCTGTTCCGTTTGTGACCCAGACCCTTCTGGCGTAGCATGGACACACAGATAAGAGGTGACAGGCATGCTACAGTATGTGCTGCACTACGATATTGGGAAGGAAAGGCCTTCAGAAAGCAGGGATGGGTGTGACCAGCACTTAGGAATGGAGGTTACCAGTTCTGCAGAGAATGAAATTCAGCTGCAGGAGCTGCCTCAGCAGAGCTGTCCAGCTTCTGTACGGAAAAAATAATTGTGCTGAATCACTAGGAAGAAAGGATGGCAGAAGGAAACCGTCTCTCCCTCAGTGACACCCGCTCAAGCCCTTTGCTACCTGTTATACCCCCAGATCTGTGTATGGCAGCTAATGCATTACCCAACAGAACAGTCACAAGGTGGCTATTTTCACAGGAGAACAATGATCATTTTCACCAAGATATTCTTTCGTGGGAGAGGGACACACCATGTGGCTTCGTACAAAGCAGAGACTCCAGCTCTATCACCCATCCTCAAGGCAATGGAGCACAATTTCTTTACAACTACCACAAGCTATGTGAATTGACAAAGGGCAGCGAGCCAAGAGACCTAGGTTTTATCCAGAACTTGGCCCTCGATTTGCCTTGTAACTTTGAACAATAATTTAACCACTCTTCTTCAGTTTCCCTTTCTATAAAACAGCTCCTTGTAAAGTACATTTGATTTTTTTAATTGGACTGATATTAAATAAGGCCTCATGTACTAATGGGCAGGGTTAAACGCTCATTCTTATCTCTAAGCTCAGAAGCGGTCTCAGCCCAGTGGAAAACCACTTGTGTTGAAATCTTTGACTGACAGCAGGGTTAATAAAAATACTCAACCCTTACACAAAACCGTACCTTCAGAGCATTAACTAATTTGGTTTCAACGTCAATCATTTGGGACCTATTGCTACCTTAATCTAGGATTCTGAAGAGTCATATGTTCACAGATTACAATTATTAAAATATGTACAATCTTTAGTTTTCATAGTTGGCTTGCTCTACTCCCAAGTACCATGAACAGTGTTCATTTTAGCAGGTGTATGGTTGTACACCTGAAGAGAAACAGTCAATAGAAAAAGATTCCCATTTGATCACATCACATGAAGACAGACAACTAAACACTGACAAATGTTATAGGTGCTTGCGTACAAATCATAGAATCATAGAATATAAGGGTTGGAAGGGACCCCAGAAGGTCATCTAGTCCAACCCCCTGCTCGAAGCAGGACCAAATCCCAGTTAAATCATCCCAGCCAGGGCTTTGTCAAGCCTGACCTTAAAAACCTCTCAGGAAGGAGATTCTACCACCTCCCTAGGTAATGCATTCCAGTGTTTCACCACCCTCTTAGTGAAAAAGTTTTTCCTAATATCCAATCTAAACCTCCCCCACTGCAACTTGAGACCATTACTCCTCGTTCTGTCATCTGCTACCATTGAGAACAGTCTAGAGCCATCCTCTTTGGAACCCCCTTTCAGGTAGTTGAAAGCAGCTATCAAATCCCCCCTCATTCTTCTCTTCTGCAGGCTAAACAATCCCAGCTCCCTCAGCCTCTCCTCATAAGTCATGTGTTCCAGACCCCTAATCATTTTTGTTACCCTTCACTGGACTCTCTCCAATTTATCCACATCCTTCTTGAAGTGTGGGGCCCAAAACTGGACACAGTACTCCAGATGAGGCCTCACCAATGTCGAATAGAGGGGAACGATCACGTCCCTTGATCTGCTCGCTATGCCCCTACTTATACATCCCAAAATGCCATTGGCCTTCTTGGCAACAAGGGCACACTGCTGACTCATATCCAGCTTCTCGTCCACTGTCACCCCTAGGTCCTTTTCCGCAGAACTACTGCCTAGCCATTCGGTCCCTAGTCTGTAGCTGTGCATTGGGTTCTTCCGTCCTAAGTGCAGGACCCTGCACTTATCCTTATTGAACCTCATCAGATTTCTTTTGGCCCAATCCTCCAATTTGTCTAGGTCCTTCTGTATCCTATCCCTCCCCTCCAGCGTATCTACCACTCCTCCCAGTTTAGTATCATCCGCAAATTTAGTATCATCTGCAAATGCAAAAAGCGTAAACGCTAAGATGGGTGAACTTGGTGCCTGTTGTTAAGTGAGAATATTGATGTAACAGGCATCACAGAAACTTGGTGGAATGATGACAATCAATAGGACACTAACATCAGGATACAAAATACATGGGAATGACAGAGTAGGTTGTGCTGGTGGGGTAGTGGCACTATATATAAAAGAAAGCACAGAATCAAATATAGTAAAAACCTTAAATGAACCAAACTGTACCACAGAATCTTTATGGATAGAAATGCCATGCTGGAATAAGAGTGCAGCAGTAGGAATGTACTACCGACCACCTGACCAGAATGTTGACAACGGTAACTGTGAAATGCTCAGGGAGATTAGAGAGGCTATAAAAATAGAAAACTCAATAATAATGGGGGGTTTCAAATATTCCCATATTGACTGGGTGCATGTTCCCCCAGAAGGGATGCAGAAATAAAGTTTCTAGACACCATTAGTGACTGCTTCTTGAGGCAGCTAGTCCTGGCACCTACAAGGTAAAGAGGTAATTCTTGGCTTAGTCCTAAGCGGAGCACAGGATCTGGTTCAAGAGGTGAATATAACTGAACCACTCAGTAATAGTGACCATAGTGTAAATAAATTTAACATCCTTGTAGGGAGGAAATACAAAAGAAGCCCACCACAGTAGCATTTAACTTCAAAAAGGGGAACTACACAAAAATGAGGAAGCTAGTTAAATGGAAGTTAAAAGGAACAATCACAAGAGTGAAAAGCCTGCGAGTGCACAGAAACTTTTTAAAAACCACCATATTAGACATTCAAACTAAATGTATATCCCAAAGGAAAAAATAAACCAGTAACAGGAGCAAATAAATGCCACCATGACTGAACAGAATGAAAAAGGAAGTTAGAGACAAAAAGGAATCCTTCAAAAATTGGAAGTCAAATCCGACTGAGGAAAACAGAAAAGAACAAACTCTGGCAAATCCAGTATAAAAGTATAATTTGGCAGGCCTAATTAGCAGCTAGCAAGAGACACAAAACTAACAGTCAATTTTTTTAAAGTACATCAGAAGCAGGAAGCCTGCCAAACCACCAGTGAGGCCCCTGAATGAATAAGGTGCTAAAGGAACACTTGAAGAAGACAAAGCCATTGAGGAGGAGATCAGTGAATTCTTCGCATCCCTCTTCACTGCAGAGGGCCACACATGAGCCATACAAATATGAGGAACTGGCCCAGATTGTGGTGTCAGTGGACAAGGGTTTGGAACAAACTGATAAATTAAACAGTAATAAATTGTCAGGGCCAGATGGTATTCATCCAAGAGTTCTAAAGGAATTCAAATATGAAATTTCAGAACTCCTAAGTGTAGTATGTAATCTATTGCTTAAATCAGCCTCTGTACCAGATGACTGGAAGGTAGCTAATATAATGCAGATTTAAAAAAAAAAGGCTCTAGAGGTGATTAGGGATGTAAAAGGTTAAATGGTTAACCGGTAAGCGGCAGCCAGCCTGCAGGAGCCCCAGCCAGGCAGCCCCAGAGACCCCAGCTCCTCTCCCTTTCATCCCGACATAATTTCAATACTTTAAAGAGTAAATGTTTTAAACTGTATTTACATCCCTAGAGGTGATCCTGGCAATTACAGGCCGGTAAGCCTAACTTCAATATCAGGTAAATTGGGTGAAACCGTAGTAAACAAAAGGATTATCTGATACGCACATGAACACAATTTGTTGGAAAAGAGTTAACACTGCTTTTGTAAAGAGCAATCACGTTTGACCAATCTATTAGAATTCTTTGTAGGGGTCGACAAATATGTGGACACGGGTGATTGAGTGGATACAGTGTACTTGGACTTTGAGAAAGCCTTTGACAATGTCCCTCACCAAAGGCTTTTAGCAGTGTAGGCAGTCATGGGATAAGAGGGAAGGTCCTCTTGTGGATCAGTAACTGATGAAAGAACAGAAAACAAAGGTGAGGAATAAATGGTTCGTTTTCACAGCAGAAAAAGGTAAACGGTGGGTTACATCAAGGATCTGTATTGGAACCTATACTGTTCCACATATTCATAAGGCCATGAACAGTGAGGTGGCAAAGTTTGCTGATGGTATAAAGTTACTCAAGACAGTTAAGTCCAGAGCTGACACTGAAGAGTTACAAAGGGATCTCTCAAAACTGGGTGACTGGGCAACAAAATGGCAGATGAAATTCAATGCCAATAAATGCAAAATAATGCACACTGGAAAACATATCTCAACTACACATACAAAAATGATGGGTCTAAATTAGCTGTTACCACTCAAGATAGATCTCGGAATCATCATGGAAAGTTTTCTGAAAACATCCATTGCAGCAGTCGTCAAAATGGCTAACAGAATGTAAGGAACCATTTGGAAAGGGATACATAAGAGAAAATACCATAATGACACGATAAATCCATGGTATGCCCACATCTTGAATACTGCATACAGTTCTGGTTGCCACGTCTCAAAAAAGATATATTAGAACTCAAAAAAATACAGAGAAGGGGAACAATGATTAGGGGAATGCAACAGCTTTAATATGAGTAGAGATTAAAAAGACTGGGACTGTCATTCAACGTAGAAAGTAAATGACGAAGTGGGGATATGCTGAGGTCTATAAAATCATGAATGGTGTCGAGAGAGTAAATAAGGAAGTTTTATTTACCACTTCACATAACACAAGACCCAGGGGTCACCCGATGAAATTAACAGGCAACAGATTTAAAAGAAAGGTAAATACTTCCTCAAAAACTGCATAGTTTACCTGTGGAACTCGTAAACGTGTCAGGGGATGCAGTCAAGGCCAAAACAACAAATGGTTTCTAATAGGAATTAGATAAGTTCATGGAGGATAAGTCCATCAACGGCTATTGGCCAAGATGGTCAGGGATGCAACATTGTATGTCCCTAAACATCTGACTGCAAGAAGCTGGGACTGGATGACAGGGGTTGAATCATTCAGTAACTGCCCTAATCTGCTCATTCCCTCTGACGCATCTACCACTGGCCACTGTCAGAAGATAGGATAATGCACCTGATGGGCCACTGGTCTCACCCAGTATGGTCACTCTTACGTTTAACCCTCTCTGTCCCTGTGCCTCCTTTCCCTACACCACATACGGCCGTCTCCTCAAGACTCACAAACCAGAAAAGTTAAATCTCTGGAAGGAGATGTCAAATTCATTCCGTGGCAAGGCCCAAATTTAATTTTCAATTGCAGTCCACAGGCCGAAGAACGTGTTCAGGACAACACGCTCTCCTCGATGCACAGACCTTCTACTGAGATCAATGGCAGGTTACCACAGAGATCAGTAGTAGAATCTGGCTTTTAATAACAGAACTGTCAGTAATTATTTGTTCAGTCCCTTATTATCACATTCAGACTCATGCAACAGGAAAATCTGCTCCCCTTCAGGTACACCGTTATTTCTGCCCTTTGATTCTCTTCCCGCCTTATCCTCCTTTCTCTGTTTCCGTCCCTCAACTCGGTCTTCAGATATTTCCTCCTCTCTTCCCTCTGCATTTCCTTCTTAGCAGCAATTCCCATCTCCTTCCCCATACCACTCACCAACTGGTCATCAATTACATAATTAATGCTTACATTCAAGTGTCCATTATAAGGCTTAAAAATGAATACTCCATTGAGATTAATGGGAGAGTTCACACCTCTCAAAGCTACTGTTGTCTCAGACTGTCTGCAGATTCAGGAAGATTATGAACTGAGGCATTCTTGTTGATTCACATTTGAAGAAGTTTCCTTCACAGCCACAAGGACTAGATTTTTTTTTTTTTTTTTTAAATAAAAATCTTAGATTCTGCCACATCTGAAAATAAATCCATCACAGGGAACAAGGTGTTTGACCCTCTGCTCTAGACAGTGACATATTTCACTTGCTACGCTCCTCATCAGGTAAATGTCATAAGTGCCCGCAAGGCTAGGTGTTCCTTCCACTCAATGCTGTCGAAAGCCCTATACAGGTCTGCATAAGAGACTAAGTTGTCTACAATGACTTGGCTGTGCAGAGAAGCTGTTAGCTCATCTGATATATAACTCACTTACAGACAAGGTCAGTGAAGTCGCATCTTCTACTGGTCCCTCACCCACCTTCTCTCGCCAATATTCTGGGAGCAACAAGGCAACAACGACACTGCCGACATATAACTCACTTGTCCAAAGTGCTGTCTTCTCAACCTCTCATCTGTGGAGCTTTTACAGTTCTGAAGCCATAAAACACAGATTAAGAAGGTGGCTTGCCTCAAGTTTGGTCTGCGTATCCCTCTCCTGAAGCGCATGGATCTTCCCATCTCTAGTCAGCACGTAGAGAGACCCCCACTCTGCTAAGACATCCACCACGTCATCGAAGACCGAGCTGTACGCGATGAACTTGTTACATAGGTCGTAGACATTCAAGATTTGCTTGTCGGAGTTCTGCGGGTCGCTCCCAGCAAACTCTGATCTGGATACCAGAAGAAAGAGCAAGAGTTTAACACACATGCTCTTGGATTTCTGAGTCACATTCTCAATAGCGTCTCCTTAACACACTTAGAGCCGGGATACAAACCCCTGAACAACCATGTGAGTATGTCGTACGTTGTTAGTCCACATACTAGATGGGAGAAATCATACCTGAGTTATAAAAGGGTGGTGACAGATCCCACTGGCTCTGGAGGGTGGTGCATACCGCTATCCCAGGAGCAATGACTGGATTCTGTAGATTCAGATCAATCCATAGCAGCTTTTGCCAGAGCTCTAATACTAATCACATGCCACAGTAATGTCAGTCAACACCTGGGACGATTCTCGGGGTGCCCAGGACTGAGAGTCACCTTGTTACCCACTCAGCCTCCAGCTAGAGAGAGACTTGCTGCTGCTTAACTGGGTGTCAGCTCCCTGACACTTCCAGCCTGTTAGCCCCCAAACCATCTCCTCTGGGCTATGTCACCCCTTACTTTGGCTTGCAGGTTAACGACAGGTGCACTCCAGTTCCGAAATCCCTTTGAAGCCTTCCCCTGTAGCGTTCAGCTCCTTAATCACTGAACACTCACAGTAATAAGAGGTTTGCTGTCCCTAAGGCAACAGCGTACACATCATCTTGAATGATTCTGCTCAGGAGCAGCATCCCGTACAATACTACGGCACTGAGTTCCACTTAGAGTGAAAACAATCATAAGTTTATCTTTATCAAAGATCAAGATTTATGAGATAGTGAGTAAGGATAATGGAAACAGAAGGGTTACCTATCAAACAAAATTGTAACACCATTCCTAGACACTAACCTGAACTGTCTGACCTTCTGTCCAAATAAGATTATCTTACCCAAAGCCTTTTTGCAGGGTTTTCAGCCAAACCTGATTGAGACCCTATTTTCATGAATGTAATCGCACCACCCGATTACCTCCTAGGCAGAGGAATTCAGGATGGTTTCCTTGTCCCCAGATACAGTCTAGTAAATCGCTGAAGTGCATCCCTGGAAAAGGTTCCGAGCCCTTTGCTGTTCTGCTCTTCCTGTTAAATCTCACAATTCTTCCTCTGCATTTAGCTCAGACTGGGGATGGCGAATGAGACAATACGTGTCAACAGACGGACGGACAGATCTCTTTGTTTTTGCAGGAAATCAGTTCTTCACCGCTGCTGGGGATTAACACCTTGATACAAACTATCAGAACACATTTCCAGTGGATATACACATAACTCCTTACACAGCAGCCGTACCTACATTTACGAGGATAATCATAACCATTTAAAACCCGCAACTGGTACTCTTTCTGAATGAATACTATGAAAGCGGCAGGCCTGTTAGGAGTTGCTGTTACAGACCAGCGAGCCCTCTGCCAGCTGAGAGCAATGGGGATCTGTGTCGCAACAGCCTTGCACAACAAAGCGCCAGGAGAGCTGCAAAGAACAAAAACTGCACAGTGAATACACGTAAAATGGTCTCATCTGCTTCCCGGAGTCTTACTTTGGAGAGCTCTTCCGGTCCTTGGAAACGATGACGAGGTATCCCCGATACCAGTGAACGATCAACTTCTGTCCCTCAAAGGCAAAGCAGGGGCCACGCTCATCTGGCTGGTACAGATACACACATTCGTTTCCTGCCACAATGAACTGGAGGTCCTGGGAGGGGTCGCTGAGCGTGGAGCAGCGTAAACCGCAACCATGCGTGTCCAGCTCCAGACGAGGATAATCTTTCACCGACAGCATATAGGTCTGTGAAGGAAATATGATTTTTTAGAGATTACATGGAACGGCAGATTGGTGATAAATAACCAGGAGCTGTTACAATCAGTGGGCCAGAGTCTGACCTCCATTACAGCTTTGTCAAGCCAATATCTTACCTGGATGTTCTCCGTGGTGACAACAAAAAGGTGGGTGATTTTCCCAGACTGGCGGAAGGCAAGGCCAGTGACTGGGTAATTGCCTTCATGTAAGATCTGGGTCTTACTGTGTCGGTCTCGTGTGATGTCCCCTTTTGTAAGCACAACGCTTCCATCTGCAAAGCCTGTTGAAGGAAAAGGACTAAACTGTTTATGTCTATGGCACTTTCCAAACATTGACTAGTATTAAGTCCAAGGCAGCTGCAGTCAGCTGGATCCTCCTTGTTGTTTCCCAGACAGATATGCGTACCGGGGCGGTCCTTCTCACTTCACGGACACATGTATCAAACTCCCTTCCTGAGTAGGGTCTACCAGGACTTCTTCACGGCCATCTCCTGGCCCAGTGCAAAGCTCTCCTGTTTGAGAAAGTTTAATCTCCGTTTCTTACACGGACGCTTTCTTTATGGTTTATTTTCTCCTATTGCTCTTTTTTGTTTTGCTTTGCTACAACAGATGCCTAACTCGCTGGAACCAGTTTTGTGTAACAGTTGTTTTAAAGCACACAGTGCGCCTCATGTACATAATTAGCACTATAAAAGTCAACATTGTAAAATGGAAGGAAACCAGTTGGTCAAAAGTCACATTTTTAGAACAAGTCTCTGGACAAGTTACTGATCCACGAGAAGACCTTCTCTCTTATCCCATGACTATTTAGCCTGCATAAGAGCCTTTGGTGATGGACCTCGTCAAAGGCTTCCTGAAAGTCCTAGTACGCTATATCCACTGGATCACCTTTGTCCAAGTGATTGTTGACACCCTCAAAGAATCCAAATAAGTTGGTGAGGCGCGACTTTCCTTTACAAAAAGCCGTGCTGATTCTTCCCCCAACAAATCGTGCTCATCTGCCCCTTGTGGGTTCCAGAACTAGCTGCTCCAAGAAGCAGTCACTCATGCCGTCTCAAAATTTTATCTCTGCGTCACGCCACAACGTGACATTCACCCAGTCGTCATAAGGCAAGCTGAAATCACCCATTATAACTGCGCTTTCTGCTTCTAGAGCCTCTCTCCAGCCAACCTTATCATTTCAGAATCGCTGTCACCATCCCGGTCAGGTGGTTGGTAACCTATGCCTACTGCTATACCTTTTTTTTAGTCAAGCATGCAACCGGGACCGGATTTCCAATTAGGCACAGTAGGCACGTGCCTAGGGGCACTGGCGTTCTAGGGTCATGTAAAAGTTAAAAAGTTTGTACATATGTGGTTAAAAGTGGTTAGCGTAAGCTTTCTTAAAAATGACAGACAACCCAATGATACAGTAGAACCTCAGCGTTACGGACACCTCGGGAACGGAGGTTGTCCGTAACTCTGAACAAGACCGTACAGACTTCAGACACCAAGTGGGGTTGGGACTGCAGGTAGGGGGGAGTCAGGGCTCTGGGGGTATCAGGGCTTCTGACCCTTGGGAGCACCAGGGCTCAGGACTTTAGATCTCAGGGGAGTGCTGGGGCTTCAGCCCCAAGGCTCCATTCCCGCCTTCTGCCTGGGGGGCGGGGGCGCCAGAGCTCGTACAGCCCCGCTCCCAGTTTCAGCAGGGGAGGGTCACGCCGGGGCTGAAACCAGCGCTCCCCTCGTAGCTAAAGCCCCAAGCCCCAGCACCCTGCCCTCCGGGGCTGAAGCCGGGAAAAGAACTGCGGGGTTTCAGCCCCAGCACTCCCTCCGGGTCTAAAGCCCTTAGCCTGGTGCTCCCGAGGGTCAGAAGCCTGGACCCTTTTAACTACTGAAGGATAACTTTTAAAAAGATATGGACTGTGAGGCTATCACTAGCGCGTTTGCGAAGCAAAAGTCAAGGAAGGAAACATGTGCAGTAAAGTAGCACTTACCTGCTACCAATGTGATTGTTTTAATCACATTTATTCAATACAATAACAAAAAAAATACATATTTAAAATTACAAAAAACACAAACATCAGCTGTAGGGGCGGGGGTGAGGAGAGGGCGGCGGCGCTGAAGATGCTGTGCCGTAGGGCGCGGAAGGTATAAATCCGGCCGAGCATGCAATTTCTATCCATAGTGAGTCTATGGTACAGTTTGTTTCATTTCAGATTGGCACCTTATTTGACTACGGTTTCTTTAACATACAATGCAACTCCCCCACCAGTGTTACGTTCTTTATCTTTCCTATATATATTTATAGCCCGGTATTACCATATTGCAAAACCCATTCTCCTCCGCCTGAACAAAATCTCAATTTGGGGTCAAAATTACCCGAGTGTCCTTTTTGTTTTTGTTCTTTCCTTTCTTGCAATATAGATAAAGAGTATGTACCTAACTTTTAAACCTCAATAGAACAGTAAATCTTGTTTTATGGTAAAAATTATGGTAAAAATCAAGATTTGCCAAACTTTTGCAAGTAATTACTGGCATTCTCAACTAGCGTCAGGTTCATTCTCTTTAGGATGAAAAGCATGTGACGTGAAAATGTCAGAACGCTCTACGCTGCCTTCTGTAGGACCAATCCATTTTCATTCCACCATATTAACTTCAGAGTTTGTTCGGCACCTTCAGGAGGCGTTTGGCTTTTCACTTACCGATAGCCATGAAGTTAAGAGTCTCATGGACAGTTATGCAGGACACAACTGTAGGTTTGTTACCCGGTATTGCTGGGAAAATCCTTGTGCAAAGAGGATTCCCACCATCTCGTTTCTCTAAGTTCCAGACTTTAACCTGCAAACAACACAGACAGAATGTGAGTAGATATGGTCTTAAGGTATATTGGGGCCACAACCTGGTCCCTTTTAAGCCCATAGGGTGAGAATTTAACACACTGTTTTTACACCAAAGACATTCCCAAACTAATCCCAATACATTGTTCTTCCTCAGAAAAGCACACAAGATGGGCTCATGTCCTCTTTGTCATTTCACTTACCAGCGGGTTAATGCCTTCTTCATCTTCACCAACAGAAGCCAAGATGCTGTGCTGCTTCAGCTGGTACAGGTGAGTCACCCTCAGCTTGTAAGCCTGGAAACTGCTCAGCTGAAGGGAGCGTGGCAAGAACCAGATCTGACCTTCCATATGTAGAGGATAGTCAAGGTACTCAGAGAAAACAAAATGAAACCACACATATCACAACCAAACCCTTCTTAAGCTACCCTTATTTATTGACAGCTGGCCAAATATACTTATACTAGCTATTGTTCCAGTCACTGAAGCGATCGCAGGGCAACAAAACATTTAGTGAACATTTTAACGTGCAGGTGACCTGAAGTTGGAAGAGGCAGACGTTTTCTATATGCCAAAGGGCAACTGAAAAACAAAACAACAGCTCGGCGCACACCTAACAGACGTCCTACTTTAGTTTAGGGCCCAATGCTGCGAGGTACTAAACACTTTTGACCACTCCCAATGAGAAGCGCCTCACGGGAGGCTTTCAGAACCTTCCTGTATAGAACCCATAGCGTATTTCAAGATGAGGGTGGTCACCTTGTTTCCAGTACATAGATGAAATAGAGTACACTAGGCAAAACTTTCTAGTTCTTACCAGCAGTGATTCTCAGCCACGCAGAACACATTCACAAGTGTCTTCACGTGCATCATGCAACAAAGAAAATAGACTACACTTCCTAAAGCCTGAGCGATTCCAAAAACACACATTATGTCAGCAAAACCACGCCTTGCGGTTTCAGTGAGTGCTTACCATACCCCAGTTAACTACCCAAAACTCTCTTTCTATAAAGGAGAAATATTCTGAAGTTTGACTGCATTATACATCACTCACACACTTTCCATTTCATTTCTTCACAAAACAGGCAACGCACAGGTGGTGGGAGAGCAAGTTTCTTCCACTCCACACCATCAGTGTGTCTCAGCCCCACTCAGAAGCCCTCTCCTCTAGGAGTAAGTGGGAGTTCAGGCCACACAGCTCATCCAGCCCTGGACCCGTGGGCTGAGATTAGTGGGGGACAATTTAGTGACGTGAAGCAGACATGCAAATGTTTGAACATTACACCACCAGCCAGGCACGGGGAGCAACCTTGTCACGAAGCTGCCGACCCTGGATGGCGCGATCTCACTGGCCTTCCCCATCGGTTGGCAGCAGCGGCAGGTGGCACAATCTGTGCATTTCCCTCTGACGCCCAAAGGGGAAAGGCCTTGGCCACTCCTAAATCTCATCCCGCCGCACTGGCGCCCAAAGAGGGGGAAAGGCGCCCAACCTCTCTCCTACCCGCTAGCATTAAAAGGGGGCGGGGGAATCCCTGCTTCACTGCCCGCGCTAACCTCCAAGGTGGGGGAGGTCGCCAGACGGCGTCCTCCTGAGGGAGCCCCGGGCAAGGATATCCCCAAAAACCAGGCTGCCTCTGCCCGAGTCGCAGACGGTGATGCCCGGCGGAAGGGCGAAGGGCTTCGCTCCGCCGGCTCCGCCCCCGTCGGGCCCGGCCGGCTCCTTCACCGTCTCCCTGTCAAAGAACACGAAGCGGCGCCACTGCAGGTAAGCAGCCATCTTGGCGACCGGAGCTGGACCGGGCAGGGATCAGGTGACCGGGCCGCCGAGAACCGCCTCTCCTTGCGCACGTGACGGACGGCGGCCGGAGACCATGTCACGTGGGACGCCGGGCAGGCGCCGTCCGCCGAGCCGCTGCTGGGAGCTGCAGTTTTCCGGCGTGCGCGGGCGCCCCCTTGCGCCTGCGGCCCTGCAAACTCCCGTGGCCTGCGGCACAACCGTCTGGCCACGCAGCATATTTGCAGCACGTTTACAATAACCCCTACCCAGCCTCAGGCGAGGTACTTATTGATAGGCCTTGTGCTCGATGGACAGCGGAGTGATCCTTGAGGATCCTTCAATCCTTGAGGGGGCCATTTAGGGATCTGGGGCAAAAATTGGAGATTGGCCCTGCTTTGAGCAGGGGGTTGGACTAGATGACCTCCTGAGGTCCCTTCCAACCCTGATATTCTATGATTCTATGATTGTCAACACTGAAATAATGTAGGAGGAACAGGATTCGATAACGCTAATTAGACGTTCACAGAGGGCCTGGCTTACCCATGCATAATGCTTCCATGTAGCAACATTGCTTTTTTATGTTATTGTACATACTGCCTCAAACCAATCTCCGGGAAGGGCCCGCCTGAGGACAGCAGGCCAAACGCTAGAGCTAACCATTTTAAATACCTAAAATCATAGATTCCCTAGGGTAGTTTGATGGATCCTGTTAAGGTTACAATAATGCAGACAAGGTAACAAGTAACAAAAAACAAGTATTTCACACAAAAACTACACAACACTTTTTTGTTTTAACCTAAAACCGCTTAAGTTCTCCCACTCTAGCAGTGAGTTACTTCATGAGACTAGAATACATTATAAAATAATAACGTTTCTGATAGTTGCAGTTTTTTCTTGCTTTCTCATTTTGCAAATGTTCGATTTCAAATTGACTGTTTCTTTATTGGAGGTTTACTAAGAAGCAAAAGCCTCTCTCTTCTACTGCATGGCAGACTCTAGGGCCGGATGACTTCCTGGTTTTGAGATGGGGAAAGAAAGGCTGCTTTTTGTTGTTAGTGTTTTACCAGTGAAACCAAAAAGAAAAGGAGTACTTGTGAAACCAGGAATTACAACACACCTCCCCATGCCTCATTAACACGTAAGAATCTTTGTTCATGTGTTGTGATGCCTGTGTGGGACGGTTACATAGAACCCAGGGCCTCACACTACCAGGCCACAGAGAAGGTATACAGACCTCATCCCCTGAACACGCACATGTACAGAAGACTTCATATGAAAACCTAAGTGTTTTCACGGAGAGGATGCATAGAGTTTTCTTTGCCTGCTTTTGCCTCATTAGCCCCACTGGGCATACACACAAGGATCTTTACGGTCTGCGTTAACATATTAAAGCAGGGAGCGTGCGTGCATACAGGAGTCTTCACAGGGTGTATGCATGAAGCTTCCATACATCTCTCCACCTTAGGGGCATGCAGTGGCTCCTCACTCACCACCTCCCTCTGGTGCATTCTTCCAGGGTTGCCTTAGGAGGGGAGGGCCACGCCTGGCCCACGTGCGCCAATGGAGTTGGAGCGTTCCACGTGCCTCCTTCCGGCTCTTCTGAACGTGGCCCAATGGGGCTCGTCGGCTACCCGGATTGGCTCGCTGCGCCCGGCTCTGTTTGTCGCTCCAATGAGCTCGCGCCGCGTCCGGGCCAGAGGTTGCGCGAGACGCCGGGGCCGCTACCGCTGATGGAGCAAGGGGTGGAGGAGCTCGCGCAGCGTGTGCGGCTCAGTCGGAGGTGAGTGGGGGGTGGGAGCGGAGCCGCCGGTTGCGGGGCTCGGGGAGAAAGCTAGCCTGGGGCTCTCTGTGACCCAAGGGTGGGGATGCGGCCTCCCCCCGCAAGCTGCACGGAGACATAAAGAGCCCCAGGCTCCGAGGGGCTTCCGAGCCCTGCTGCAGGCCGTTCTGTCGGGGGGAGCTGCGTGTTATGGGCGCGGCGGCTCGATAGTGCGCCCTCCGCCCCGGGAATGCGGGGAGCAGCGTCCTCCCCGTGAGAGACCTACAGAGGTCTGATCCGCGGTGCGAGGGAGGGAGCGGGGCTTTTTCACAGAGCCCATCGCCCACGGCCCCTCGTTCCCTTACCTCGCTGGGCACCGACTGAATGATTCATCTCTTCCCCCCCACCCCCCCGTCTAAAAGTCTGTGCTGTCGCGTAAAGCCAGTGTGTAAAGGAGAGCGTCAAGGGTTGTTTTTCTGTGTTGCACGGTAAGCTGTGCATTCATGTGCGCAGAGCCTAGTGAATTTGTGGTTACTTGAGTTCTTGCTCTGTGGGTTCGGTGTGATTCTGTTGCTAGATGTGTGTGTCTCATCCATCAGCGTGGAAGATGGTGTGTCTACATAACCAAATTTATTTTCAAATTTCAGGTTGGGTTGGTGGCTGTGTAGTGACTTGAGCATTTGCCTTTACCCAGCCCAGAAGCTACTCTCGAGAAGGCCAACTTTAATAGAGAGAGGGGGCATTGGCCCCCTGTAATATTTTTGTACTAGCTGCAGGGCTGATGGGTGCAGGAATGCTTCTGTAAGCCACGAATGTGTGATGTCAGGGTTAGTACTGCTTTGCTGAAGCAGTGCTGTGTGTGAAGAAGTGAAGGCAAATAAATAAGTAGATAGTGTGTATACTAGTGCTTCAGGGCTGTCTAGAAGAATTGACCTGTCTCTCCTGCCTTCAGGCTGGGATGATAAGTGTTGGGTGTCATTTCTTTAAGGTGGTGGCTGCTTTCTGTGGTGTGACAGGATTCATTGCCACACCTGCCCAGAAAATCTGCATTGGAGTTACTTAAAAGGCCTGGTGGGGAATATTAGTACATTTGTAGGTTCCTTTTGACAGATGCATGAGCACAAGATATAGTGGAGTGGGATTTTAAAGAGCAGTTGTCGCTACAGTGGATATTTGTTTCCAAGTTAGATGCAGTTCTCTCAACAACATTTCCAAAAATTCCAAAAGGCTGTGATTAACATGGATTTAAGTCCATTGTGATAGTGTCTCATAAAATCTCATGCAATATTTTTAGATTAACCTTTTTAAAAGCAGTAGGTCCTTTCTACTAAATTGAGGCACTTAAGAAAAGTGCAGTTAAATGTTTCTAATTTAAACATTCCACACAGGTATCCATGTCAGATGTTTTATATTGCCCTCTTTGAAATTTTCGGCGATGAAATAATTTCACTCATCTTCAGCCAAAGGGCCACTTAATCTGTTACTGAAATGCAAAAACTTTCTGACAGTGCCCAAAAACTGCATAGAAGTTTTACAGGAAGTGCAGACTATCATACCAATTTAAACTGCAATTTAAGGAAGGAGATGTAAGATGGGTTTTGCTAACAAAGTATGTGCATGTTTTGGAGAAACCTACCTGGGCACTATGGTTGGCTACTCTTGCAAGCAAGAAAATTAATATTTTGTTAAACTATTGTAAAACCAAAACTTAATATTCCAGACAGTTTTTTAATTTAACTTTTTTCTAAGAATGAACTATATTTGTAAATTGGAGATAGATACGAACTATAATCCTGGATCCAAACTCTCTGAATTTGGGTTGTGGGTAAGGCCAGATAAGAACTTTATATCTCAGGTTTATCTTTACTGTAAATATCTAATATGTGGTTTTATTTATTAGTTGTTGGCATAAAGGAGAAAAGTCCCACCACATGCTGAGAATTTTCCTGCCAGGTTGGGGAATTAATTTTTGCTGCTTATTTTCAGCAAGATATTAACAGTTTCAATGGCCAGGATGACACAAGTGCCCTTGTGGTCTCTGACCTTCCTCCTGCTGGCCTGTCTTCCATCAGAAACAGGTATGTGCACACTTTTCAGATTTTTACAACCTGATCAGTGTTTGAGGGAAGTTTTAAAAAATCTGCACATTAGGGACTAGCTGGTTCTGGGAACTGCCAGTGGGATATGCCTCCAAGATCGTGACTTGACGTCCATCCTGAAAATTATAACTATCCAGCTGCTGTTTGGGGATTTTTGTGAAATGAGTTGGTAGGTTTCGGTCCTGTTCTCAGCGAAAAAATGTTACATCGCAAAAAAGCAGTTAGTATTATTGGTCCCTCATTTGCAACTCAGCAGAGAAGTTAAGCATTGACTGGGTCAAGGAGACTGTATCAAGGATCTACTCCCTCCTCACCACTTGAGGAGGTCTCTGCTGGGTTGTGGGGAGGTACATCAGCAGCTGGTGCAGGGGGAGAGCTTGGGGATAGAGGATTTCTGTCTCCACAGCTCTCATTCTAATAACCTTTCACCAGCATGAAATTCACAATATTGTCTCAGGCTTCTAGTTTAAGAGAAAGAAGCATATAAAAATAAGCAATTGAACTGCAGTTTACTCAGAACTGGGGGATAAAATTAAATGGCAAACAAAATACAGAGGTGCAAGATCAAGAGATGAAGCTGACAGTCCTTGATGTAATTCTGACATGTTAGTCCTAACATTTACTGAAAATGTATGGCTTAGCACTGGTGAAGCCCAGGGAGGCATGGAACTGCCCATACCTCAGAATGTTTGCAGTGTTGTTCTAGCCATGTTGGTCCCAGGATATACGAGACACAAGGTGGTGAGGTCATATTTTTTTTTATTGGACCAACTTCTGAAAAAGAGCTCTATGTAGCTCAAATTGTCTCTTTCTCCAACAGAAGTTGGTCTAATAAACTATATTACCTCACCCCCCTCTTGTCTTTTTCATACCTCAGAATGGTATTTCCTCACCTTCCTATGGATTCAATACTTAAGGATGACCCCACTCTTCTCCCTTTCCCAAGAGTTTGCCAAGAGAACTGGCTAACTGAGAGCAGTTTCTCATGGAAAAAGTACAGCTTCTCACATCTATTCCTTTTGCGTTGCAGACGCTCTGGCTGTCATGTCCGTGGACCTGGGCAGTGAGTCAATGAAGATAGCAATCGTAAAACCTGGGGTGCCCATGGAAATCGTTTTAAACAAGTAAACTATAATTCTTCTTCTTGGTCTGGCATGTTCCCATATCAGCAAGCCTGTGAGGAGATACAGCTTATGATGGAAACTCCTATCTCTGCACCTTCTGTAAAGGCCTTCTAGACTCATTTTATTTCAGGGCTTGAAACAGCCTTTCACTACAAGGAAACTTTTCCCAGGGAATGGAGGAGCCTATGCTGTCACTATTTGCAGGATATAATCATTGATTTAGAAGAAGTATCTAGCCCTTATGATTAAGAAAACCTTCCAATTGTGACCCACATTCAAAAGATGCAGTGTCATCTTCCTGCATCTACAGTGCCTTTACTGCTTCTCAGCTTTGCCAAACGGCCCAAAGTAATGCTAAAACTGGTTGGTTGTACTGTAACTATTCAGAAACTTGTGGGCAGTAGTGAAACAGAAAAGAATCACCTGTTTCTCTCTGCTGTTGTTGACATTGGAGCTGTTCACTCGCTTAGATGATGGGAAGGGGGGGGGAAAAAGCAGAGGCTGGGAGAGGGGTAGAATAGCAGAGAAACCTCCATCTTGTAGCAGTCAGCAGTCTGAAAAAGGAAGATGAGTGGATTCCCTTCCTGCTCCCCAAAGGTCAAGTGTCTGTTGGTGGGAAGAAGGAGCTCCTTCACTCCCATAGGCAGAAGGTGAGAGACTTAAGGAGTATCCGGCTTTGGAGAGGGTTCAGAGAAGAGCCAAGAGAATGACCAAAAGATTAGAAAATGTCTCATAGTGATAAACTCAAGGCGTTCAATCTATTTAGCGTAACAAAGAGAAGGTTCAGGGATGATTTCATTACAGTCTAGAAGTACCTACATTAGGAGCAAATATTTGATAATGGATTCTTTAATTTGGTAGAGAAAGGTATAACAAGATCTAATGGCTAGAAGTTGAATCTTGACAAATTCAGATTGAAATAAGGCATATTTTAACAGTGATGGTAATTAACCATTGGAACAATTTACCAAGGGTCATGCTGGATTCTTTGTCACTACCAATTTTTAAATCTAATTGGCTATTTTTTTAAATAAGATCTGTTCTAGTTCAAACAGGAATTATCTGGGGGATGTTCTATGGCCTGTATTGTATAAAACTAGATCACAATAGTCCCTTCTGGCCTTGCAATCCACAACTCTGCTAGCCAAAGGCTGATGGGAAAGATGGCTTCCCCAATGAGGTTGCAGAGAATGCTTGCAAGAGAATTGCCTCTGAACCTCGCTTGTTGGGGGTAAGTTAATCTTTTGTTTGTCTCAGGCTAGCATGTGTCAGGTAACTTTTCCAAGTTCTGACATTGCTATTCAATTACAGCCCTTCCTTGTCATGCAGCTGTCTCTTACCATCCTTCTGGAGTTAGGAGTAGAGTGTTGGGGGGAAGCTGGGTATGGTAATAGGTCATGAAGGTACTGAGAAATCAGAAGCACACTGAGGTTACTTTAGAGTGGCCTTCAGCTCTGAGCCATTTGTTAGAAATTCAGGGAAGTGCTGCCTCTGGCATTCTAACGCTTTAGTTACCGTCTTCCAAGCTTCCCAGCAGTATGGAAGCAGGGATAAATCATAGATGCCTTTCAAATAGACAGGTAGAGCTACTGTAGGTGACATTGCACTGAACTGTGCAGCATCTCATTCCTGGAGAATGATCAGTTAGCACAACAGCCCTGGAAGAAGATGCTGCTATTGAAAAACTTCAGACTAATTAATGATGAGCTATCTCTAGCACGTAGCCTCTGTTCCTGGTGGCATCTGAGTATCCTTCCTGAGTTCCTCTGCATTAAACAGTCTCAGCCTCGTCAGTGGGGGTTGTTTGCAATGAATGTCTACCTGTCATATTTTTAATCCTTTTTTCTTGCTTAGAGAGTCACATAGGAAAACGCCAGTGACTGTAGCTCTGAAAGAAAATGAGCGTCTCTTTGGCGATAGCGCGGTGGGAATGGTAAGACGACAAACCAACTCACATAAATTCCAGCTGCATGTGTTGTGTATATATACCTGTATACAAAACCCGCATTCCATGTGTATTCTCTACACTAGTCCCTTGGAGATGGATTTCTGAGTGCCCAAGTTAAGAGATTTTACCCCCTCACCTTGTATTATTTGTCCTATGGGAACCCTAGTTACATGTGGTTTTGTCTCTGCTTTTTACCAGCCTGTAAATCTTGGCTCTCATAGCAAATATTCTTTCCCAAATATACGCACACCGTGTGAGGCTGGTTGGGAGGGGTTAAGTGAAAGTTCCCTGAGAGTCAGGACTGAGTTTTATAATTTCGGGTGACTTGCTTTCTTTCTGCAGTCCATAAAGAACCCGAAGATAGCACTCAGATATTTTCAGGACCTGCTGGGTAAACACATAGATAACCCCCAAGTGACACTGTACCGTTGGCGCTTCCCACAACACGAGCTGGTAAAGGATGAGAGGAGACAGACGGTTATCTTCAAACTGTCCCAGTGAGTGACCGACTCCAACTGCCTTCTGAGACTTTCGCTGCTGTGCTGTTGCTTATGAAACTTGCAGGGAAATGTCTCCCCTAGCATGTTGGCAGCTGACTCTCACCACTAGAGAGAGAGGCGAAATGCTGGTTTTAGCTTTCTCTGTAGCATGGCCAAGCAAGGAAAGCTTGTGGTATGTATCATTCTAGGAGAGCTGCTCCAGACAGCTACAGATGGAGGTATAAAATCTCTCTGGGAAGGAGTGGCCATTTTAAAGGCCCAGTTATTGGATTTGGAACCTGTCAGTTCAAATTCTGCCCAGGTCAGTAGTGAAAACAGTGAAGTGAGCTTGGGAGGAGAGAGGTGTCATTACAGTTCCCAGTCAGCAGGGACTGACATCCCAAATACTGCTGCAATTGGCCATTTGCCAGTCTCAGAACAGAGACCATTAAGATTATGGTCCCTGATGCCCCAAAGGCATCAGTCCAGCTCCAAGTAAAGCACTTCGGTAGAGGATAGCGTGGGGAAAGGAGGGAAGCTTTCCCTGCCACTGCCTGCGCTGTGCTTATTCTCTGGATAAATTAAGCACTTTGGATTCCAGGACTGTCAGCCCAGGAGGAGGGAGATGGATGGCGGATTCTCTGCATCTGAAAGGCCTTTTTCTGGTCCCCTGACCATTCGTGCATCTCTGCAGAGTTTCTCTGAATGACATCCCCCAATTTTTGGGGCAGGGATGTTGTCCAGGGTTCTCTGCACAGTGTCCTGCTTAGATCCCTTGTTTTGACCCTGTGACTTGTAACCCATCCCTGTTTGTTTGTTCCTTCTTTCTTTTCTTTTCTCTCTCTCTTCACCCCCCATCTCATCTGTGATCTGTTGATTTCTGGGTTTTATGGCACCACCTCAGAGTATGCGCCTCTACTTCCTTTGGTGAGCAGAGCTCACCAATGCCAATGTGTTGAATTATAACCTTCTGAAATAATAATGTTCCCACTTCATATTTATGGACGCAGGTGGTGTCTGTTTCTCAAGTGGTCCCTGCTGGACTTTACATTGATGGCTTATTTTTACCATTTGGTGTGTTTAAAAGTGGAGCTTTGGGCCACATTGTCCTTGTTGAGGAGAGGGGAATACTCTCCTCTCCAAGAGCCTTGTTGCCAGTTCTATCACCTTTTTTACTCTCTGGGGGGAAAAGCTTTTCCATATTTTTTCCCTGGATCCGATAATTCCTCAGGCTTATGTGATTTTTTGGGCTGTCATGTTGGTGCTTCATCCCGTACTGCCCAGTGTTTTGTGAGAATTGCTAGAGAAGCTTTGGCTTTACAGTTGAATATAACTTTTGGTACCTGTCTGATGGAGGGTTTTATATTCTTGCCTTGTGTTGCAGTGAAATGCAGTATTCTCCAGAAGAGATACTGGGCATGGTCCTGAACTATTCACGTGGTCTGGCTGAGGAATTTGCAGGTTGGGATGATTGTTGCTTTTTTACAGTATTCCTACATTGTTCAGTTTATTTTGTTTAATTTCAGAGGATGTGGAATTTACAGGGAAACTGGAGGGGACTGGGTTTGAAGGTCTCAAATGGGATGTCTTGGGGAATCAGAAACAGGATGTTGAATCATTTAACCTTTGAAGTCATAACTTTAAATCAAGCTTAAGCTGCTAATTATCCACAGTTTCTAGCTGATGGCTGTTTGGTGATGTCTTAGCCCAGTTCCTTGTGGACAAGTACCCATGTGTTTATATATTTTAAAAAAAGTGCAGAAATCTGGTGGGTTTTTTTTTAACTAGCCCTCATATTGGCACCCTCTAAAGATAATAAATATAGAGACTGAAGACTTCTTTCATCTCTAGAGCTGGTTAGGGCTTGAGGCATGGTGATAGGAATTTGGCAGGAGAGCTGCAAACTTGCCCTGCTGCCATCCACCTTATACCTGCTCTGTTGATAGATGGTTCCTTTCACCAGTGCTAATTTTTTTTTTTTTAAACATATGAGTTTACCTTGGGGAATATTAATTAATAAAAGCAACTAAACCATGGACTTCTCACCGCTGTATTGTTAATCAGAAATGCCAGCAGCAATGGAAACTGCAGAAGAATTGGCTGGATCTGTTCTTACTGCTGTATTACAGGACTGTAGTTAACATACTTACAATTCAGGCAGTTGTACTAAAGGGAGTTCAAACAAGATTTTACCCCAGAGAGAATTCAGTCATCTACAGGCTGGGGTTTTGGGATCCTGGAAGACTAGACTAATTGCTGAAGTCTGAATAGATTGAACATGTTCCTTTCGCAGAAGATACTGGGAGTATGACCATCTCACAAGATGCTGTGAAGCCTGGTGGATTTGAGGTGGAAACGTTGAAACAAATTCAACTCCATTGATGACTTCTTTCAGTTTCACCTGGGCTGAAATGGACCTATAGTCTCTCTCTGCGGCGTTGACTTTGCTGTCACAATCTCCATAGTTACTTGCATGTTGATAGCTGTATTATGGAGGAGTTTTTGCACTTGCCTCTCCCATGGAAAACCTCTTCTCTTCCATGCTTTGCAGAACAACCTGTAAAGGATGCAGTGATCACCGTCCCTGTATACTTCAATCAGGCGGAGAGGAGGGCAGTCCTGCATGCAGCTCAGATGGCAGATCTGAAGGTCCTGCAGCTGATCAATGACAACACTGCTGTGGCTCTGAACTATGGGGTCTTCAGGAGGAAGGACATCAATGCCACAGCACAGGTATATGCAGCTGGTGCTGAGGTGGGGGTGCTATTGAATTCCATTTGAGTGAGGGGAAATTTAAAAGTGATGAACTGTAAAGATGTGCTCATGCTGGTTGAGTGCTTGTCTTGGTTGCTTGCTGTTACAGACCTGTCTAAGTATAGACTAAGTACAGAGCATGTGTATAAAGCAGCAAGTACATTCCTAACTGTTGCACTTTCTGATAAGATATGGAAAGCAAAGAGGCAGTTTGTAGGGCAGAGAGTGGGGAACTGGGAGTTGGGACTCCTGGGTTCTAGTCAGCTTCACCACACTCTCTTGACTTGTTTTCCCGCCACCTCCCACCCCCTTGTAAAATGGGGCAATGATACTGACCTACCTCACTGGGGACTGGGAGGTTGTTTGTAAAATACTTGGGAGTTCCTCAGATTGAAGGAACTCCTGGTGAGAAAAGCATTCATTCTGTTTTCTACTTTATAAAATAGAAGTGTGGGAGAAATAAGGACGCACTCGGTAGGTCCATTATTACAGGCTTCCAGTCCTCATGGCTATTGCTGCAAGTCTAATGTTGAGTAACTGTGCTTTGCTGTCTCTCAGTGGACTGGAGCAAATTTACTGAATGATCAGTGCCTGTCCCATTCCAAGCTGTGTGATCTCCAAGATCTTCTCTCCTTCCCATTCAGGGACAAAATACCCCGGAACCTTACTTCGCCTTCTCTGGTTTCTTCTTTACAGAATATCATGTTTTATGACATGGGAGCAGGAAGCACCGTATGTACGATAGTGACTTATCAGACAGTGAAAACCAAGGACTCAGGGACCCAGCCTCAGCTGCAGATTCGGGGGGTCGGGTAAGAATTTCTCTTGGGTCCCATACTTAAAAGAAAATATTTACTTTGCTGGCTCTTCTAAACACAGAATGGGCTGCATTTCGAAACTAGTTTCAAACATGAGTGTTCAGACAAAAGCTGGAGTCGGGCAGGGTGCCTTGGGTGGGAGGATTCAGTCAAAAAGTAACTTGGGTGACTTCACTTCATGCAAAGGATAGTTGGAATGTGGACATGTTGCCAAACTTTTATGTGTATCTGATAGCGACCCTTGTGTGTATAGAGTACTGAACACTTTCTATTATAAAAGGTTCTTGTGACTCTTTTTTTGAGAATTGTTTTTGACAGGTCTTTGAAATTTGACATGGACAAAAGCCTGGGGGTAGAGCTGTGCCTCTCCTTTATTCCATGAAATTCTGTTCAGGTTTTAGCTGAGTTAATAATTTTAAAAAATAAATAATTTCCCTTCTTTTGCTTCTGTTCCTCGGGGCCTACGCTGCTAACAAAGCAGCAGCAGCACATGCTGTAATGTAAGAACACCTGGATGCTGCCAGGGCATCTGTAGCTGCGGGGGGAAGTGGGATAGCTGGGCTGAGCTGGGCTTCCCCCGATCCAGAATGTGTCCCATCATTCATTCTGGGAGTGCCACGTGGAGCAGGAGAGACCACCTCCTGGGTTTTTGATTGGGAGGGGATAAAGCTAGCTAGGCTCCCTACAACCACCTACTAGACTCATAGGGTATAAGCATCCCATCCCCCTTCTGGGAAAACAACTTTCTCCTGCTGTCAGATAATGTAGTTAGTACAGTAGCTCAAGTGGCAACAGTCTGTGCTGTAGTGCTGAAGGTATATGATTGCTATGATATGGTGGTCACACTTGTACACAAGTCTCTCTCTCTTTTTTTTTTTTACCAAAAAAAAATAAAAACCCCTTACAAATTATATTTTTTTAAAAAAACTACATTAAAATATATTTAGTATTAAAATAAAGCACTCAAAGGTTAGGAAATGCCATATGTATAGTTGCCCATGCAATCTTAATTCATTTTCTTTGTCCAACCCATGTACAGTACCGAATGAGGCAGGGGTTCTAGGGCTGTAGGGATAGACAGTATGTGTAATTAAAGACGGTCTCATAATGTGTATGCACAAGATTCCACAGGCAACTAAGTCTGGCGTTTGCTAGCTGGATTTACAGTTGTAAACCTAAATAACGCTTTTAGCATAGTTTACTTGTATGTGAGATAGTAGAAGTTGGCTCATTGGGCTGAGGAAGTTTGACATCCTTTTGGGGAGGAGATAATACAAGGCTTGGTAGGAGCGGAAGGATGACCATGCTATGGAGGTTGAGGGTGTCTAGCGGCTGAACATAAAAGACCACAGTGTCTTCCCGCCCATAATGTTTAAAGAACTAGTTGTAAGGAAATAACTTCGAGATCTGAGTTAGACAGAGCCTGACTTTTCAGGAGCTCATCACCTCGGGCACTTTTAGTGTGTCTGTTATGAAGCCCCTCTGCTCAAAGGCTGTTGGGGTGGTGAATTCATCTCGTTCGAATGGTGCATTTGTTCTTCTGAGCAGACACGATATCCATTCATAGTCACTCCTAGCTGAGTGTGTTGCAGTACTATTGCCTTGTGCTCAGTTTTCCATGGCTGATTGAAACCGGCTGAAAACAAGGTCTTAAATGTGTAGGGTTTAAAACTTATTGGGGGATAGACACCTTTAGAATTCCATGTGATGATGTAAAGAGAAATATCAGGAACAACTAGCCTCATGCAGCTGCGAGGGCTCGAGTTTTTTGATCAGTGACATTAAAAGCCAAACTTTTATGTTTAAAGCCACGTTGTTGTTTATAAAGCAAAGCCATGCACTGGAACTTCGTGTGGAGAGAATTGTGTAGCATTCAGGATTGCATGCAATCCCTCTTTGCAGCATATTGTTCTTGTTATAAATGGTTTGCAGTTGAGAGAATTCTTGCATGCTCTTGTAAAATCCAGGACAGCTCTGGAACTCTCTTCTGGGTGGGGAAGGTACTTGTAACTCCAGGTTCCATTATTGACTTAATCCATCCAGGCTAAGTGTCTGCTTCTGGTTCCTATTCTCTGCTCAGATTCGACCGCACCCTAGGGGGATTGGAGATGGAGCACCGGCTCCGGGATTACCTGGTGAAACTCTTCAACAAGCAGCAGCCTTCAAAAGATGTTCGGCAGAATCTCCGGGCCATGGCTAAGCTGCTAAAGGAGGCCAACCGCCTGAAAACTATCCTGAGTGCTAATGTTGACCATGTGGCCCAGGTATGTCCCTGTGCTGCAGGAAATCCCCCTTCCTCAGGAACCGGGATGACTTGGGTTAAGAGTGAGCCTGGGAGAGCTCTGTCTCTCTGCTTTACGTAATCTTTACACTACAATGTTCTCTCCCTCCACCCTTGCCCAGGAGACTCCAATGCTGGTGGCTTTTCTAAACTGATTTCGCTTAACAAGCAGCAAAATCCAGGTTCTCACCAGTTTAAGTCCATCATGTTACTAGTTTTGAAAAATGTTTAGACCTTTGCAGGAGATTAGAAGAAGTCTGTCCCTAAATGGCTACCAGGAGCATGAGATTTAGACAGCTGTTACATCCAAGGCACCATGTCTTGTGTCCCTCCAGCACCGGGAGAGGGATGGGGATGTAAAAGGATAGGCTGCATTCTTAAGGTGCAGTGGAGTGTCTGGAACACATAAGCTAACCCAGTAGGAGTCGGAAAAATGTTAGCTTGGAGAATGCTGTGTGATGTGAAGCTGATGGCTTTTTCCTCTCTGACTTCCTGGACAGATTGAGGGACTATTGGATGACGTGGACTTCAAGGCCAAGGTCTCCAGGCAAGAGTTTGAGAACTTGTGCTCCGACTTATTCCAGCGGGTTCCAGGGCCTGTGCTACAGGCACTGAGCAGCGCAGAGATGAACCTGGTAGGTCCAGGGATACTTTGATAAATGTGGGGTCCTCTGATGCTGAGCTGCTGTTGCATCACAACCATTGCTGTTTGAGAGGGGTCTGGTTTGGGAAGGTAACTCACCCTGCTGAGAAGTGCAGGCTTCTGTCTTCCTGAGGGCAGAGGTGGCAGTGCAGAAGTTACCACATTGCCATGTGTAATGGGGGTTTACCCCCATCACCAGCAAGGCAAGGGAAAAGACACCCCCCCCCCCGTTAGTCATGCTCCGTACTGTGGGGGAGGGGGAGAGAGTTTAACTAATTACCCCCTGGACAGAGGAGGCAGAGCTAAGCTTTATAAGTAGCTTGAAGGAACTCAGTTTGCGGGACATGGAGAGGAGACAGGTCTCTCTGAAGGAGAGGAGTCCTGAGCTAGGGCCTACAAGATTCAAGAAATTGAAGTCAGGTGAATTATATTTTGTTTAAAGCTGAACCCCAGAAGGGGATTGGACTGTTGAATGACATGGACAGAGGGCTGCGTCACAGAAGACTCTCTGAAGGAGTCCAGGGAAGAGACAGGTTGGGCATGGTCCACAAGGCTGAGAAATTTGAGGGGGTTGAGGGCATGCACTTACACCATGTCAAACAGGTTTCCGTGATTGCCATGTGGACTGGTTGCCTATGAGCTAGGGATTCGGATCAGGGTTTTACTGACTATTAAAAAGCCCTTAATTTTGAGGACTTCAGAATCTGTCTCCCCCACATCTCTTGGAGGCATCTGAGGTTGGCCTAACTTTCACCATAGATCAGGAATCTCATCTCTGGATGTCTCTCCAGAGGGCACATGCCTGACTGGTTATGGCCAGATGTGACCATCTTCAGAGAGACCTTTCATTTAATTTGTTTGATGCTTAGCTTCTAAGGTGGCAGGTGCCTTAGCCTCTTTGCTTCAGCACTTTTCATGGCTGTGGTTTCTATCTCCTCTTCTCTGGACCACTGTTTCAATAACTGGCTCCTCTGGTATGGAGCCTGATCTGGGTTTGATTTTTGTTAAATAAAGTGCGGCGTCCCAGATGCTGGAGACAGCTGCTCTGTAAATCACTCATGTCTGTTGGGCCTGATCTTGAAGTACTTACTCAGGCACAACTACTTTGGGAATTTACTGAAATAAGGACTTAAGATTTTTGGACCCCAGTCTTGTGTTGGAGAGCAGGGTTGGTAGTGGACTCCTTGCAGAGCACTAAACAGTGGATGGTGGGGGGATACTGAAGCAGTGAACTTGGCTTTTCCAAAAATACATTCTCAAGGCAGAACCTGATTGTCTGTGAACTCCTAGGATGAAATTGACCAGGTGATTCTAGTGGGAGGTGCCACCCGAGTCCCCAAAGTGCAGGAGATTTTGCTGAAAGCTGTGGGCAAGTAAGTAAATGAGGCCTCTCTGCCACGTGCCTTTTCTCAACAACCTTGTGTTTGTACTAGTGATAGAGAAACTTGCATATCCCTCCCCCTTGCTTTGCAGAGATGAACTGGGGAAGAACATCAATGCAGACGAGGCTGCTGCTATGGGTGCAGTCTACCAGGCGGCTGCTCTGAGCAAAGCCTTTAAGGTCAAGCCCTTCATTGTTCGGGATGCAGCTATCTTCCCCATTCAGGTGAGCTTCCCCTGTTGTCTCTTTTCGGGGAGGAGGGTATAGTGTGGGGTGGCATTGGGAGAAGTGATTATAAATAAACAATGGGACCTTGAGGCACTAGAATGGCATTAGGGAAACCTACAGGTTTTAGTGCTGAAGGGGAAATGGTGCTCAGTCTGGAATCGTATGTGGAGCCACTGGAAGGAATGATGCTAAAGTATTCACCCTGGGTGCATTGGGCAAGTCTCTCACTTCTTTATCTGGTAGCATGGGGTAATGCTTACAGTCCCCATAAGGTGGGTAAAGATTGTCTACCAAGTGCTTTGGAATCCAGTGATCAAAGATGCAAGGTAGGGCAAAATCTTCCTGTTAGTGTCTGATTGTCTGCCTTTGCTCACATGATGCAGGTGGAGTTCACCCGCGAAGTTGAGGAGGAGGATAAATCCAAGAGCTTGAAGCACAACAAGCGAATTTTGTTCCAGCGCATGGCACCATATCCACAGCGCAAGGTCATCACCTTCAACCGCTACACAGATGACTTTGAATTCTATGTCAACTACGGAGACTTGGCTTTCCTGAGCCAGGATGACCTGCGGTGAGTGGTGATAGGCATTTGCACAGACTTGCCTTCAGGCTGATAGGTGCTTCGCTGGAGAAGTTTGCATGCAGATGGATGGCCAAAGATGCACAATTTCAGAATCTTTGCTGCAATCCTTATATAATTGAGAAAGCCAAGTAGTTATCTAACATCGCAGTAGTGAGAAGTTTCCTCTCCGCTCTAACTGGTCCCTAGCTGGCATTTTCACTAGGAGGGCCAAGGGTTAAAGGACCTGTTGCTACTGCGGTAGTACTGTGGAGACTCAACTCCCCTCTCATTCTAGAGCTAGTACTTCCAGGTCAGGCCTATTGTGGGAGGGCAGTATGGGGAAAGCTCACACTTCCACTGCCTCAGGGCTGCTTGTTCTGTGGACGGATGATTCTAGTCCCCAAGACAGTTCTGACACCTTTTGCCAGCACTAACTTCTCTTTTGTATGTGTGCAGACTCCCTCTCTGGCTATCCCAGCTCTGGTTCTTGGGCTCACTTGTTGAGTCTGTGACCTTCCCATCAGAAACAACTGATTACCATAGGGCATTGGTGTGAAGAAGTACCCTGCTTTCTGTTGCCTGTTCAGACACTTTGCCAGTGAGTGGCATTGGAACGGTTGCAATACGGCAGATGGGGTGGGGGGGTCCCAATTTGTGTGTGTAACTGACGCTAAGTGTGTGAACCAATATGAATGACACCAGAAATGGCAGCCTGTTCAGTGTCTGGAATTTGGCTGAAGCTCCAAAGTGGGGCAGAGCTGGGAGTATACTGGGGACAATGCTGAAGTAAAGTTGGGGAAGAGGGATGGCTGCCCACTTTGCAGTTTAGGCTTCTTTGGTTGGTGTCTGTTCATTCTCTCAATCTTGCCTTGGTTCCCCCCAGAGCCTTTGGGTCCTTGAATCTCACCATTGTGAGGCTGAGAGGAGTCGGGGATAGTTTCAGGAAGCACTCAGATTATGAGTCCAAAGGCATCAAAGCTCACTTCAATATGGATGAGAGTGGAGTGCTTAGCCTTGACCGGGTAAGTGCCAGCCAGCTAGTGCCATCTATGTTCTCCTCCCTTCCTTGTGCAGTCTCCCTATCCTATCTCTACAGGTGCTGCTAAGAGACCTTTTTTTAAATATATTCTCTCATTGTGTCTACTTCCAGGTGGAGTCTGTATTTGAAACTGTAGTGGAGGACAAACCAGAGGAGGAGTCAACATTAACAAGTAAATACACTGTACTGTTCACGTTTTGTATTCAGACCAGCTGTTGCTTTGAAATCATCATAACTCCGACAGTTAACTGCACCACATTTCTCTGAAAGAGACAGGTCTGGCATCTGGGGACAAGTGACCAATTAAGTGAAGTACTCTGACGCTCCCCACAGGTACCCAGGGTTGTGAGGCACTTCACAATTACTTGCCCTTAGTGTGAAGCAGTCTTATCTATGCATGTTGTAACTCGGCTTCCTGAAACCAACAGCCTCTGGCAACACAAGCACTATAGGCACCCCCCGCGCCCCCCCCTTCCCCCCCCAAGTCCTCAGAGCATTTCCTGTGGTGCCCAGCCGTTAACCATTGGCCGCTCACAGAAATTATCTGGTTTGCTATCTCTAAGGGAACAAAATAACACAGCCCGAGTGTTACAACTTGGGATCAGGTGCTTCGTAACACCATAGCACAGAGATATATTTATAATGAAAACAATCATAAGTTGTTGAAAGCTGAGATTGAAGAAGTAGCAAGAATAATAATGGAAACAGAAATGTTTCCATGTAAAACAAAAAGTATAACACGCTTGGTAGAACCTAAACTTAACTTACTTACGTTCCTCATCCCTCAACGTCTCTAGCCAACCTGGCTGAGATTCCTCTATAATGAATGCAAAAAGCATTGTTTTTGCTTCCTCGCTGAGGGATAATGGGATCCTTTTCCTTATATCACACCAAAAATCCATTGTTTGTCCCCTGAGTCAGGATTACCCCGGGGCTTACTCCCTGGTGTGCTGACTTCATATCTCATGTTGATTTCATATGCAAATAGACCTTCTGTTGTGTTGGCTCACAGTGTTTAATGTACATGTGAACTGAGGCAGACAGGTGAATAGACTCCTTTTCGTCTGTCAAAAACCTGTCTGTCAAACTTACTTTGATTCAGACTTAAAATGTGTATTTTCAAGCCTATATGCGCATAACTCCTTACATAGCTACAGTGCATATGTTTTGCAATTTTATATAACTGACCAGTGAGATCCTGGTTTTCATTTAAGATCTTACATGACGTTCTTTATAGATAAATACTACAAAAGTAGTATGCTAGGTATGTAGTGAGGTTGACAGGCCTGATGGGATTTGTTAAAGAACAGTGAATTCTTTTGGCACTGAGGAATCCTTAGGGTCGCAAGTACCTGCCTATTATGTTAGCAGATCCAAAATAACTTAATGGCCCTGAGCATGTGCTTCTAGGTGAGGGGGCAAGTCTCCCTGAAAGCGTCATGCATGCTCCTAAGGTGCCCATCAGTACAACATCCGGGTATGCACCACATGCATGAGTAATACAAGGGAGCTGCATTTTCACCTTCCTCAGTGAAGGGGTGTATTTAGAAGGAAACAAATCCCTTTACTTTTGTCTTGAGGGCAGCAGTGGAAGTCTTGCACATCTGGTGCTTCGCACTCTCCCTCCTCGTTGGTTGGGCCGTGATGCCACTGACTGGAAGCTTTCCATTGTCCTGCTTTGAGGGCAAGTGCAGAGACTTATAGCTGGTGTGTAGGAAGGAGGGATGAGAGTGCATATGGGTGGAGGTTTCCTAGGGAAGTGAACAGTGGAAAACTCTATCACCGTTTGGAGAGGCAGATTCCAGGTTATGCTTTTGCAGAGATGAGGGCCCAGTAGTTTGTATACAGGAGGATGTGCAGGGAGGGAAAGAGCTAGCAATGGTAGTGCAAGAGTTTTTACAGCAAATATTGTCAGGATCCCAGGCTGCCCATGGATTACTGTTGGACCTTGGAGAGGCACTTCTACAGAATTCATGATTTTAAAGTCAAGAAAATTGAGTTACCAAACCCCTGACTGATGCATGTCACTCCCTCCTGCTGTTGCTGTTCCTCCTCCTCCTCCTCTCACACTGTCCTCCAGACTGCTTCAAAGACTGACATTTTGAGTTATTTTTTTCTCCTGCAGAACTTGGAAACACAATCTCTAGCCTGTTTGGAGGAGGAGGTCCTACACTGGAAACGGGAGAGAACCTGACAGAGACTGTTCAGGTGAGGTGCTGGCTTTGATGGGAAGATGGGACTCCGACTGGATGCAGTCCTGGCTGCAAAATAGAGGAGGCAGTAATTAAACACAAACAAAATCAGGGTGACCAGCAGGACACCAAGATTAAAAACTACACATTGTAGAAGTTTGTACATGTCTCAAAGTCTAATGCTGCATTAAAAATAAACATACAGGCCTTCTGGTGGCAGTCCCTTGGGCAAATGCTGCCAAGGCTGCTTCCCTGATGAAGTCTCTTTCTCTGTCATTCCAGTCTCCTTTCTGGATCCTCTCTGGGTAGTGCTGTGTAGGCTACACTCTCCTGCATCTCATCGTTATAGGCTCTTGGCAGGTTCTCCTGCTACACGGAACACTTGGGCCTGGCTACTCCTGTGTTGCCAATAGGAGTCTGTTTTCTTTCCCAGGAATAGAAAAGGGTTGTGGTTCCAAGGTGATATGGTGACTTTCTTAAAGTCATCACTGGCCTGCCCACTCCCTGTTCTTCTCTTGTAGCCTTTGTGCCATGTTGAATGCCAAGCTTCCGGTATGAGCCTGCCCTGTCTGTGTGACACATCTGCATGGGATTTCCATTAAAAAACTGTGGCACTTTCCTCCCTGCTGCCCAGGAGGAAGAGGAGAGCCAGGCAGAAACAGGAAAAGAACAGGGGGAGAAACCAGACCAGAAGGAGGGAGAAGGGACAGTGAGTGAGGAGCAAGGGGAAGAGAAGCAGCAGCCATCTTCAATGCAGGATAAAGCAGAAGCTGTCCCTCCAGAAGCAGAGAGACAGGAGGAAGGAGAAAAAACAGCATCTCAGGTGAGCAGCTGACTCTGCAAAGGGAGACTGCCTAAAATGGTGACATTATGTGCTGTTGAACCTCAGGACTGGGATCTAACTGGAAATAATAGGGGAGAGTGTGAGAGATTCTACCCCATGTGCGCAGGCTGAGCACCACAGCTTTGTTCCTGCTCACTATCTCTGAAAATAAACCCTTAACCGACAAGCCACTGAAATAAATCCTTGCTCCTTAGGGGCGGAAGTGGGGAGTGACCTTCACTCAGGGTCTGAAGCTGAGTGTTGGGAGACCCCTTGCCAAAGTTCACTTGAGTTGTTGGAGTTTTCCCTGCAGAGAACCCTTTCCCTTGACATTTGCCTCATCCTCAGAAGGATGTGTCCAGTATTGCTTCCCGTTGCCCTTCGGATTTATACCAATCCACTCTCTCCTTCCAAGGCCACTTTACATTTGATTCTTATCTTGCTGTGTTGTACCTACAGTGCCATTCTGAGCTGGTAAGTGCAAAGCTGTTGTGTGTGAAAGTCTATGAGAGGCAGTCATGCACTGTTCTGAATAAAAATATGGCCTGCTGTTTGCAGCTCGGGACTGGGAGCTGAGACTTCTGGGTCTAGTCTGAAATCCCCATGTAATCTTGGGCATTTGGTTCATTTTTGTTCCTTGGCTTCCCTGTCTGGGAAGCACTAAGGCCCTGCCTTAACAGTGAAAAAAGGTATGTTGAAGGGTTTTTTTGTTTGTTTTTTGTTTTTTTTTAATTCCTTAACTACTTGGAAGTAAAATCCTAGAAAAGACAGGACAGTTTGTAATTCTCAACAGGCAAGCAGGTAGAGTTAAAGACAAAGGAGAAGCCTTGTCTCCTCTAGGATTTTAGCACTATTTAACTAACTTGAGTTAAGAATATACCTTTTTCACAGTGGAAACAAGGCCTCTCGGCCTGTGAAGCATTAAGGCACTGCAGATGTGCAAATCTATTTTTATAGATGTCGAACACTAGCCTATTTACTTAACCCTGGGAGCTCAAATCTCCCTTACCGTGTTCTTGTGTGCCGCTCTTCAAAATATTTGTTGCAAGTGAAATGGTACTGCAAATTGGTCTTTTTATTTATCCTGGAGTTCCTTCTCTGACACAGGATCCCAAAGAAAAGGAAGAATCCGGGAAAGAGGAAGAAATGTCCAAAAGTCCTGGTGACAGCACAGCCACCAAAGTGGAAGAGAAAAAACCCAAAGCTCCCAAGAAGCAGAAACTTGTGGACGAGATCAGTGTGGAGTTAGGTGTCAGTGATGTGCTTGACCTGCTGGAGGAGGAGTTGAAGAGCTCAGTGAAGAAGTAAGTTTGAGAAGAGCATGCTGAAGTGAAGGGAGTAGGCTATGGGAGCAGACTGGGCTGAGGCACAGGGACCAGAGTGAGCAACAGATTCTAAGGTGCATGTCTTATTGAGTTCAGGTCATGCTCAGATGACACTACCTTCTCCCACTCCCAGAATGAATCTGACTGTAGTAAACATTGCAAGACTTTGCTCACCCCCACTGCCTCTATTGACCCTTCTCTTGTCACCATCCTTCTTTCAGCAGCCCCTTCAAACAAACTAGGGGTAAATGTCCCAAAAGGTGGCAAGGCCAGAAACTCTGAATGGCAAAGGGAGGAACTGGGATGAATGTGCACAAGAAAAGGGTCAGTTCTGAGACTAGAAAATGACAAGAGCTGGAAGCGGAGGCAGCGCTGGCTCTGTGTGTGTGTGGACAGGTTAGATCTGCAGTGAGTGGCTGGGAATCCCAGATGGTCTCTCTATGCCCAGTGAGGTTGGAGGGAAGCTCAGCCTGACCAGTTAACATTGCTGTAGCCAATAATTTTAATCTTTTTCATCTTCGACTCTGGTCCTGTGAGCTCCCTATGGAGTGGCACCCTAACTGCGTGAGACATTACTTAAAGATCTGTCCCTGTTGCATTTGTAACCATGCTAGTGATGACAGTGTTTACATGGTCCCCTCTCCTCCACAGTATGGACAGGGGTTCTTCCCCCACCCCCTTTGGTGATCCAAAAGCCAAGCCATGCCATGCTATCAGTGCCCAATGAGTCTAACACAGCTCTTGGGTAGGAGGAGAATGAACAGTGTTCGGAGCGGTACTATAACTGTTATCGTCTCTCTTGTCATAGTGCAGATGGACTTTTAGGGGAGGCCTTTGGTTTAAAGGGGGTTAGGGAGAAAGTTTTAGCCAGTCAGTACTCGAGGAGAAACATCCTGAGCACTGTGAATCTGAACGCTGAAACTGGGAGAGATCTCCTGACTTCCCACCTTTTGGATTTGACCCTAAGACATCTAAGTGTATCCTGTAACTGGCGTGGCCTGGGTGCTGATGGGTTAGTTAATGGTGTCTGAGTGACAGGTACTGCTGCCTACACAGATCCCTGTCTGCAAAGAGAACATCACCCCCTCTTACAGGTGCTGATGATATTTTTACTTATTTCTGGCCTCCTTGCACTTTAGACTTCAGGATCTGACAGTCAGAGACTTAGAGAAGCAGGAGAGGGAAAAGTCAGCCAATAGCCTGGAGGCATTCATCTTTGAGACCAAGGTAAGAGCGGTGAAAAGGGTTGAAAGCTCCTGAAAAGCAGGAGGGAGATGTTGTATACTGGCAGGGCTGAGCTGGCTGCCGAGGGTTGTATCTGTTTCAAGCTGGGGAGCGGTTGCTTTGAGGAGTTCATCTGTTGTCATTTTGAGTGTTCCCTGTCCCACGTGGCATAGGGAGGCTTCTTCAAGACAAATGGGACCAGATTAGGGTTTAGGCAGCATACCAAGTCAAATCTCTACCTGCATAAAAGCTTTGTATATGCTATCCCCTCCTCTGCATGTCTCAGCATCCCCACGCTCTAGCTGGGAAGAAACTCCGATCGGTGAGGGCAAGAGGAAAGCTCTTATTCTACATGTGAGGACTTGTGCAGCTTTCCTGTCCCACTCTCAGCTGATTGAAGGAGCAAGAGGACAAATCTGGGGGTTGAACTTCCACTCAGTAGCATGGAGGAGCCCAGGAGTCGTGCAGTTGGTTGCAGTTGCATTCTGGGGGGATTTGAGACAGATTCCTTTGCTGTTTGTGCCTTCTCATTGATCAGCAGATAAGCTGAAGTGACCTTTACTCCTCTCAGGACAAGCTTTACCAGGAGGAATATCAGTTTGTCTCAACAGAGGAGCAGAGAGAGGAAATCTCAAGAAAGCTGAGCGAAGCCTCCAACTGGATGGAGGAGGAGGGCTATAGAGCCACGACCAAGGTACTACTGCATGGAAATAGGGTGTCAGTTTGCACTGAATTGCCAATAGGTGGCAAATTGACCTAGGCTTCCTTGGTTGCTTTGATCCACTTTGGCCCTTTTGAATGCTCTGGCACTTGGAAACCCTTTTGTTAAGTTGCCCAGGACTGAATTGCACAAGAACTAGCTCTTCCCATCTGTTGCTCAACCTCTTGGAGCACATAAAGCAGTTAACTTCCCATTCTGTATACACTGTGTCTAGTGCCACAACTCCTGTTCGCACACGAGATTTGTGCATCTGATGGGGACAGCAGGCAAAACTCCTGCAGCTCAAGCTTCTGGGATTCACAATATTTCTGGAATTAAAAGTTTGGAGCAGTTTTAGATATCTGATCAATTCTGTTCCTGTCTGTTTTCTCCCACTTTCAGGAACTGAAAGAGAAGCTCTCGGAGCTGAAGAAACTCTGCAGGAGCCTTTTCTTCCGTGTGGAAGAAAGAAGGAAATGGCCAGACCGCCTGAATGCCCTCGAAAATCTGCTCAATCACTCCAGCATCTTCCTCAAGTAAGAGTGAGACCCTGAGGAGAAGATTTGAAGTTGTGGGCGGTGGAAAAGTGTTGCATGTGTTTGACCCACTAATTAAAATGGAATCTGGTCTGCTAGCTGCTAGCATGTGAAGCTAGTATGTGGCGGCTCCTAGAGCATTTTAGGGAATGTGTTAATAGAAACACTCAAAGCCCATAAATTACTCTTCAGAACAAAGAGTATGACATCCCATGTATACTGCAAAGCGCACCCATTTTCAGGAGGGTCAGGACTGCTCCCCCACCCCGCCCACACACACACAACCCTGGGCTTCCTCCTTCCTCGCAAACCCACTCGTGGGCCAATCCCATGGTAAATCACTAAATGTGATTGAGGGTTTTGTATTCCATTCCCAATCACCTGAAATACCCTGGTCTTCTAGCATTCACTTTCCTTGGACAGAAGTTACATGTATGTGTGAAAAGCAGTAAGGTCCAAAAACATGAGTCAGTTTGTGCAATGACTTATAGAAATTTCAAATGCCATTGATGCAGATGTTAACCCTGAACAACAATTGGAGCAAAAATAAATTTTTATCTTTCAGGGGAGCACGAATGCTTCCAGAGGCCGATCAGATATTCACAGAGGTGGAACTGAGTACCCTAGAGAAAGCAATCAATGAAACTGTGGTAAGTGAAGGGGCTGCGGAGCCAATTCAGGATGTGGTGTTGGATAATGTGATCAATGCCACAGCTAATGCGTTTACTTTCACTTAGGGATAGGGAGCAGAGGATGTACATCCTCTCCACGCATTAGGAAAACCTTTCTCTATTTTAATACTCCCTACTACCAAACTCGATTGCATATTGCTTTGGGAAGACATAGCAACTGGAGATACAGATGGTTCATGTGCAATATGGGAGGGCTAGTGCCTTCCCAGTAATTAGGATTTGTACGGTTTTAAGAGCAGCCACTGGCACTCTTGTTCTCTGGTCTTGTGGAGCTAAGGCTGGAGGATGTGGGCATGGAAGCCTTGTTGACCACAGGCAATTGGAATGCCCAGGTGCTGTGTCTGGGATTGTGTATTTAAAAACAGTAACTCATGTAACCAAAAAATAGCAGCATATTCATGGGGAGAGATTGACCCTGGGATTTCCTTGCAGATTTGGAAAAATGAGACACTGGCAGAACAGAATAAACTTCCTCCCACTGAGAAGCCCACCCTGCTGTCCAAGGACATAGAGCTGAAGATAGCAGCCCTGGACAGGGAGGTGCAGTATCTACTGAACAAGGCTAAGTTTGCAAAACCCAGACCCAAGAAGGAAAAGAACACCACAAAAACTGATTCAGGCAAGAATGCCACAGCTCCCCCTGACAGCGAGAAGGTTATCCCTCCCAAGGAGGAGAAAGGAGAAGGTAAGGCACACTCAGCACAGGCAGGTGCTCCTATGAGCATCTGATACTATTGAACCACCAGGTGTAATGTTCTCTCAAAGCTGTCTGCACTGAGCAAAAGGAGATTGTAATGACAGAAATCTTTGATAAAAGGGGAAAAGCTGCTGATCCTCCTAATCAGGAATTACTGGACAAAGCTTGGTGAAATATAGCATGCTCCAAGTGCTACTTCTGTCTTCTTTCATTGACATTTGTTTGAGAAGGTGTCCAGGTTTTCTAAAGTTCATGGGACGGAAAGCATCTGCCGTTGTGGCTTACGTAGAGACTGGAGAAGAGACCACCCTCAGCACCAGTTTAGTCTCTGCTACCCACTGTGAGGCACAGCCTTCTAAGAGATGACACCTTGCTCTGGATACCTGCTGATTGTCTCTGCTTCCTGAGTGATAGCCAGCTGATTTCAGAGATTTCCTAGGTCACATCATTAGGGACACTAGGATTTACAGCTCTCCTAGCTCTCAAGATAGATGAGTTCTTGAGTGCCCGGTCCCTTTATAAAGATCAAACCACTCTCTGTGGACAAAGCTCCCCTATGGTAGCCCTGGTTCCTTTAGCAGGATATCTTAGTCAGGCCCCAGCCCGTGGGATGGCCTTCCTGCACAACTCCCAGGCCTCAGCCTGGGGCTCATCTTCTTCCAGTGGCCGTTGGCAAGCTCAGAACACCAATACCACTCCCCTCCCCACACTATTCTGACTGCTCCAGAGTTGCCCCTGGTTGCTCTTGATCCCTGCTGGACTCTTCCCTTATTGCTTGCTGCCTGATGCTTCCTCTGCTTGCTGGGGTACTTATGTTTTCTCAAAGTGCTTCTATTGACCATCCCATTGGCTTTCCCAGGATCAATGATGAGAAATTAGTAATCTTCTAGTGATGGGCTGCAATTGGTTCACTTACAATCCACATTGGCAATTTTTTTTCCTGTCCAGTGTCATCTCTACATTTGATCTTGTATACCAGAGCTAGGGGAGGTGTTGGACTTGACATACTTGTATGACCACTTGTTGCACATCTCTCCCCCATAATACAGATAAACCTGAAGATGTCAGTCCAGTCAGGGAACCTCCCATAGTCGAGGAAGCAACACTAGGTGATCAGTCTGGACCAGACACAGGTAGGGATTAATTTGTGTAAGAAAATGGAACTCAGTGACTGTGGATGTCTGTAGCCCACTGTTTGCAAATCTCTTTTCATTTCTGTTTCCCTGCAAATGAACCACAGGGTGAGAAGGAGCCTCTGGCTGCTGAGGTGTTAGTGTTTCAAACTTTACAACTGAGAGGGCCAGCTACAGAAAAATGTGTGGGATGGAATGGTAGCTGTGGCCCCAATAACACTAATGCCAGAACTGAGGAAGGGGAACTGGTTGTAACCCTGTTCACTTGCAGTATAGACCCACCAAAGGGGTCACTAACTGATTTAAAACCCCGAACTCTCGTCTTAGGGCTATTATGAAGACATGGTTACATCTGCTTTAGTACTCTTGGCGTGTTCCAGCCACTCTTGGAAATGGGACATTTGCTTGATTTGATGTCGCAATGATGTTCCTGTGCAGTGAGGCTGAAGGACGCTATTGTACCTAACTAGGGGACTATTATAGCTGTAGTGGGTCCCTGGAAAGATCAAAACCAAACTTCTACAGCCTAACCAATTGAAATGTTCTCTTGACAGCTTTTACATTCTAGTGGAAAGTTATAGGGGACTTTTAAAGCAATCGTTCCCTGCAGCATTTGGAAGTCAAACACTGCAGTCCTGTGCTAGTGTGCGAGAACCTGCAAGTGACGATAAACAAGGAAACTAATATGTTTCATTATCCAAACTGAATTAAATGTATACTTTAAGCAAAAAGAAAAGGAGTACTTGTGGCACCTTAGAGACTAACCAATTTATTTGAGCATGAGCTTTCGTGAGCTACAGCTCACTTCATCATCTGATGAAGTTACATCTGATGAAGTGAGCTGTAGCTCACGAAAGCTCATGCTCAAATAAATTGGTTAGTCTCTAAGGTGCTACAAGTACTCCTTTTCTTTTTGCGAATACAGACTAACATGGCTGTTACTCTGAAACCTGTCACCTATCAGATAGAATTTCTGGGCTACTCAAGGGTCTGATTCTGCAAACACTTCCACAACTCTCCAATCCCCTGTTGTCTGAGAAGTGTGTTGAAGTAGTTGAATATTTGTATTATAGTAGCATGCAAAAACCACATTGTACAGCATGCCTATCACTTTATAATCGTATTTATAATTTCACTTTATTTTTGTTTCTGTTTATTACATAGAACCTGAGAGTGAGAAGCCAGATGCTAGAGAAGAGAGCAGGACGAACGATGAGTTATAATGTCCCTTGAAATTTCTTCTAGCATCACATCTATTTATTTAACAGGTTTTTTTATAATGGACCCATTTAGTTTCATGTTAAATGGAACATGACAAACAGGCTGACAACAAAATGCAATAGAGATGTACATTTTTTTTTTTTTCCTCCTGGGAATTTCACTGTTAATTTTAGTGAGTTATTTTTGTCTTTTCATGTGTTTAAAGATGCCATGTGCTCACTGAAGACTCTGAGTTCCAGTACAGTCCAATTGAAGTCACCAGAAGTGACTTTTTTGTAGATTGAAAGAGTACCCAAAAAAAAGGCCCTAAGATTTAGGAAATAATTTGGCACGAACACTCTGGAGCCGTGCCTCATCTGGTGAGGATGGAGGTGTTACAGTATCCCAGAAACATGTCACGGAGTTGTTTGCGAGAGGTACTGAATTAAGGAAACGGGATGCTGTGGCCAACAGGAAATATATTCTCATTTTGATGCATGGGGAAGTGAAATGGAATTTGGTGGGGAGGGATGCTCCATGCCTTAGGGTGAGGATTTCTGTTCATTTTTCATTAGACTAGTGCTGCTAAAGCCATCTATTTGCCCTTAGTTCTGTCAGGCAGAATTTAACATCAGGGAATAGGGACCTAAACTTTGGTTCAAAGTTTAAATATAAAATAAAAGGACCATAAATTGGTATTTGGGACACAAAAGAGATGCAAGGAGAGTATTTGATGGTGAATCTCTGACTGCAACCAGAACAGCACATGGGAATAGGTTTTAGATGAGGAGGCACAGAATGATAAACTGGAAAATATATTCTTGGTAACCTCCTCCCCCAGTGTCTTGTGAAATCAGACTGACTTTGTTGTGAAACCTCATCCTCAGTGACGGTCTCATATCTTTTTTGAAAACATTCATGCTGCTAAAACACACCAGTGAGATCCTGACCTACTTCATATGCAAACCCTTGTGAATGTGCATCTGACATTGGTTTCCATGGGCCTATTCAACCAAAATAAAAAATACTCTTCCTGACAATCTCTTTAAAATGCTTTTGTCTGTTTTGGAAGGTGGCTTTGGGAATTCCTTAAACTTTCTCTGACTTTTTTACATTACAGTTCAGAGCTCTAGTCCCTCCCAGCAGCTATATGTTTTTGAAAATCACTGTGCTATCAGTGAATCCGTCAGGGCGCCTTTCTCAGTAATGCTGCCTTTCCAAGCCCAAACAGAACTTCCATTAACCATGCAGATTTATGGATTCTTAGTGTAGCTTTTCATCTTTTATGGTGCAATCTTGCACTCAGGAGCAGATAAGCCGAGGAAACACATTGTCTCAAGGGTTTTGCACCCCACTACTGATATTGCAAATCAGCTTGAACAGGCTTCCTCCTGAGTCTTGTCTTACACATCTAGACAGCAGGAAGTACAGATACCTGTACCTTCCAATGCTCCCTGCCCAGGGCCACTCTCAGGCTGAACTCTGTTCTTATAAGTCCTTCTGCCAATCAACCAGGCTCCTCTCAAAAGCTAGGACCCACTTAACTTTTCTTATAGGAACTGCATCTTTCCCATCCTCCTACCTTAAACTGTCATACTTCTCTTCTACCCAGGAGAGGTCTCCCTGCCATCACCAATACCATCTTTCACAACATCTACACAGCAAGCTACTGTGTGGAAACAAAACTCCTCCAACTTCTTGGTGCACCAGAGAGAGAGAGCTCAGAAACTTCTCCATAACGGAGATCTGTGGAGTTCAGACACCACTAGGGGACAGCCTTTTAGCATATCCCTTCCATTTCTGATCATGCACTCTCTTGGCTCCCAGTAACGTGCTGCATTCAGTTCCATCTCATAACTTGGCTCCCCAAAAATGTCACTGCATGCAGGAGACTGCTGCAGTGGGAAGTTGAAATTAATTATATAAGTTGGTTAATAGCTCTTGAATACTAAAGTTTTCCTTTCAAAAAGCAGAAGAGCAATCATGCTGCAGTTGAATAGAAATAAGTGTACCTAGGGTGTGGTTATGGATGTTTGTGGCCCTTCTGTGGTCCCTGCACTGAAGTGAAGACATCAAATCTTCCTTTGGATGGAATCTCATCTCATCAAGCTGCATATATAATGACCTCTGCAGTCTGATCCTTGGTGGCAGGCTTCTAGTCTCATCATTAATATGGGCCTGTGGTGGTGGTAGGGAAGTATTGGGGATACTTATTCTGAATTGCTGGAAGTCCATGTGTATTAGCATTGTCTGCAAATGTCTTCGGACAGTCTTTCACCCTGTGCCTGGAGTCAGCCCTTCATAACAGGGATGAATAAACCAACTGCTCTGGGTGCCCATTGCAATGTAATATTATTTTTAGCCTTGGCATTGCATTTCTCTGTTATTTCTCAACTGTTTACATTTGTGTGGGGATTGTCAAAAATGCGTCGTTTGCAAAGATGATAGCTGAGCTTTCTGCTTCTGCCATTGAGCTGTATAAAATGACAACAGACCTCCTATTTAATTTTTCAGAACAACTGTGGCCCAAGAGTAGGTTAAATTCACCTTTTTGGAGCTGTGGTGGGATTTGCAGCGCATTTTACAAGTCGGTTATGATCAGCAGACTTGAGCTGCAGGATTCATAATGCTGTGCCTGCAGCAGTGTGTACTCACTCAGTGATCAGGGATAACAGCAGGATAGTTACAATGTAACAGGGCAGAAGAGTCATCTGATGGAAAGGTGCCTTTTGGGTGAAAAGATGACAGTATGGGCCACAGAAGGTCATGTTCTTCCCTCAAATACAAGTTTGCCTGAGAAGAATGTGACCCTCAGTGGTACAACTTGTTTGCCCATCTTCTAACCCTGACTTTCTAAGAACAGTTAAACAGAAACATCAAGTGAAGTAAAAACTATGATGGATTCACATGCTCAATGCTGCAGTCCTTATGAAGTTAAATCTCCTGTGGGGTGACGCATGTATAGGCTGCAAGACCAGAAATCTTGTTTGGATGGGAGAAAAGACCGTTTAGAAAAATCTCTTTAATTAAAAATGGTTTAATCTCATCACCCTCTTCTTCCTCTGCTAGAATTGCATACACTGTAGACATGATTAGGGCAGCAATTTTTTGCATGCTTGGTCTTGTCTTTGTTAAATTGTGTGTTGTATTGATTGAAACTTTTTTAGATGTGCAGAATTGAAAAGATTAAACACAAACAAGACATTTAGTTTTGCAAATCTCAGTGTTGACCAGAATGTGCATTCTACTGTGACGCTTGAAAAACCAGCCTGAATCAAATGCAATGTTTTAAGTCTTCAGCATTCTTGGAAACTTTTTTTTTAAGGTGTTCCCCTCCTCAAATGTATGTGGGTTGGTGGCTGGTCTTAGCCCTGATTCCTCTCTTTTTGGGAGTGAAAATTAGGTCTCGTTTTCCACCTTCGCTGTTGTGACCTGCCTAAAACAGAACCAAGCCCAATCCAGGTGATATTTTGGGTTCATATCAAGTACTGATACACCATACCCCCATCTGTTCAAAGATTTTCAGTGCTGTGTATGTGTGGATTTTTTTTTCCTTTGCCACTTTGGTGGACACTCAGCCATAAAGTCCTAATTCTTTTTCCTTTCCATTAGCATTTCAGGTACTTGTCTGTACTGAAGTTTTGGTCAGTTTTATGTCCTCTTTTTTTTAACATGAGAGGAAAAGGGCAAACTAATTTAGTTGAAATGTACTTGCTCCATTGTTAAATTGTTTCAATAAAAGATTTTCTTTTCTACAATCTTTTTACATCTCTTAAGTTGAAAACAGTATGAACTCTGAGTATATCATTTGAATCCATATTGCAAATTGCTGTCTGTTGGGAATCTCTGAATCCATTCTGTTGCTGGCTAGCACTGTGTTTTATTTGCTACTGAACTTCTGTGCTCCAGCATGGTGTGCCATACTGCCAGAGTTGCAACCTTTTGGCTAAGACATGACTGGGTTCCACCATCTGTAGCTGCCAAAGGTCTCATAACACTTTTTTTTTTGAGTTAGAATTTAATCCTGACCTCCGGTCAAATCCTAGCATGGGTGACTGATCTCCCTCTATTCTTTCTGCAATATCAGTTGGATACATTCTGTATGTGGTCCTAATTATATCTGATCAAGTGTAGCTGAAAGTGCTGTTAAGGATGAGTGACTCCTGCCATACAAATCAGAGCATATGAGCTAGGGCTCTTGGATACTGTGATGAGAGGCACACTAGAATTTCATGGGTGCAGTGATACTCCATTTAAACTATACTGCTTTTGGGATACAGGAGTCTGATGGCTGTCACCCTTATAGTGTTAAAGGCTAGGATAGCTGTACTTAATTTAGTTAAGTGCAAAATCCTGTGTGGACACTTGGTTAGAAATCTAATTATTCTTTGAATTAAAATAAAACTGGATAAGAATTAGATTTAAACCTGTGTTCTATCCATTTAAGGGTGTTCACATAGGGTTTCACACCAGGTGAAATGAGTTTAAAAATCACATCAGTTTAAACTAGTGCTATTTTGCATATAAACAAAGCTTGATGCACGCATGCACACACACACCCGTTACCCAAATCTAATTTGATTCATAGGCTCATAGCCTCTACTAGCCTAAAACTGTTCAGAATATGGTGCACTGGGGGGTGATGTGACAAGTTAAACAGGTGCTTTACAGAAATACTTTTTGGTTGATCTGATTTCTGCACCAAGTTTTGCTTTTACACTCTTTTGGGGTTAGGGTGTCAAACCAGTGCTTGGTCCTGTTTGTTGTTCAGGTTTGCCATAGAATTCCAGTGTGAGCTTAAGCATGTTATTTACTCTGTGCTTCAGTTTACCATCTGTTAAATGGGGATAATGCTTCCTTACCCCACGTGGTATTGAGGATAAATTAATCTGGGTGAAGCCCTGGGCTACTCCTGTGATGGGGTCTACATAAATACAGGTGTATACAGGCCTTGATACAAAGATCAATTCCTGTTGCAGGAGTGTAAAATATATAGTCAGTTGATGCCTATCCCCACTCCCCAAATATTCCACACTTTCCCTCATCCTATTACTTGCAAATTAGAATCTTTGAGTGTTAAGTTTGTTATTCCTGCAGCAATTTTTACTCCTGCAGCAATTTTCTTCCTGAGGTAACCCTGGTTCATTTTCACAGAGCTTGCTTTTCTCCTTGAGTAGGAAAATGCACTCTTAAGATTACCAAATACTTGTCTGGGTCAGAAGGGCAGTGACAGAAAGAGTAGGGGATGAGGGTAGCAGTAGGCCCAGCCCTACGTCTAAGGTGACCAGACAGCCGCACTGAGAAATCGGGACGGGGGTAACAGGCACCTAGCTAAGACAAAGCCCCAACTATTGGGGCTGTCCCTATAAAATCGGGACATCGGGTCACCGTACCTCCATCAATGGTGGAAAGAAGCTGCTTCAAAAGTCAGGTTTGTACATGGTTCTTCGGCCCGCGCTCGCTTCCCCTCCATGCGCTGGTCGCTGCATGGTCCCTTACTGCAGAACGGCCAGCGCCCTGCCCGGGGCCGAGGCGCAACGCTCTCAGCCGGACCCCTCGTCCTCCCCCGGCTTCTCCACCCAGGGCAGGGATCAGCCCTTCGCGGCGGCGCGGAACTCCAGGGGCGGGACGGGTCTTCGCGCAAAGCGTGTCCCAGAGCGCGCCCTGACCCGACAAACTGCAGCGGGCGGGCCCGAGCCCGGCTGCCGCGCTGGGGCCTCCCTCTTCCTTCCCCGGCGCGGGGCGGGTCCCTGCGGCTGCGCTCGGCAAAGGCGGCGGCCCTGTGAGGATCCTGCAGAGGGACGGGCGGGAAGAGGCAGCGGCTACGCGCCGCGGGCCTGAAGCGGCCCCCGGCGGCGATTCGACGAATGGGAAGGTGTGGGCGTCCCCTGGAGCCCTATTGCCGGTTATGATTGGCAGAACCGGTGACGTACAGGGTTCCTGCCCAATAGAAGACAGCGGTGTGTGGCTGGCGGGACGAGGTGGGACTTCCGGGCGGAAGCGGCCAAGCGAAGGGGTCTAAGAGGTACTGTGTGGGGGTTCAGGCCCCGAGTTCTTCCTCGTGCTTCTCACCTCAGGGGCTCTGCCAGACAGCCCTTGGCTGTAATGTGTTGACTCCCCCTGCTGGGGTGCTGCGCTCCCGACAACAGACACGTTCTCCGATCGGCCCCCCTGAACTCCCAGTCATGTACCCCCCCCCCGACAGGCCCCCAGCCTTGTGGCCTCTCGCACACATTTACACTGACTGGCCCCCTTCAGGCTCATAACCTCCATGTGCCCCCCAGCCATATAAACACCTCTCCCCCATGGGCCCCCCAGCCACATAACCTCACTCCAGACAGATCCCCGTGGACACCACAGCCATGTAATCCCCCTTCCCACAGACACACACCAAGGCCCCCTCCCTTCAGGCACACAGCCCCTCCCTCCCCCCGCCATGTAACCCCTTCCCTCATGGACCTCTCAACCGCGTAATCCCTCCACAGTCCCCCAGCCATCATACCGCCCCATGGACGTCCTACCCATGTAACCCACAGTACAGACACATACCGACCAACTCCCTCAGACATATAACCCCACACCTACCCACCCCTCAGACATACACAGACTGCCTTCCTGGGGCTGGCATGTAAGCCCCTGCCCCTACAAGTCCCCCTCCCCAATTAAAGCCAGTAGCCCTTGGCCCATGTTGCCCTTCTCCTGAGCTCAGCAGGAGTGTTATTGCTTTTTGACATTTTGATTGGTATCCATTTCCTGGGTGAGATTTCACCTCAAGGATGAGCAGCTGAAGAGACTTCTATATTTAGTTCATGCCCCCTTCCAACCCCAGTCCCTTATCTGTATCGGTGCAGCTCCAGTTACAGTGGTTCAAGCTGCCCTGAACCCACCATTCATCTACTCCTCCTTTGGGCTCTAAGCTAACTCAGTGCTTGCTCTGAACCTCACACTTTCCATACTCAGGTAGGGAAATGCTCGTGTTACCATCGATAAGAGTAATGTCTCTGTTAGAGTAAATTCCTGGTGTCAGGAACTTGTGTCTTTTTAAAGTGCCTGGTACACTTTCTGATGTTGTATATGTAATGATATCAGACTTGGGCATCATAACATGTTGTATCCTGTCTTAGTTAAACAGGATGTCTTAATGTTTTAAATACTATGGATGGATTGTTAAAAGGATTGGGTGAGTTAATGAACCATTATAGGGATCCCCTTCTTCAAGGAAACATTTGTTCACAAGAGCGGTCTGGAAGGAACCTCCCCCAATCCTCATTCCTATTTGTATGGCATTGAAGAGGTCATTGGGTGTGTTGTGGGGTTGCTCAACTTCTTTGGAAGCATCAGGTTTGGCTGCTGCTGGAGGCGAGATAGTGGAGATGAAAGAGGAAGACTTTTAGACTTTTTAGGGTATGGACTGTTTCTTTCTGAAGTGCCTAGCATGATTAGGCCCTGGTCATAGTTAGGCCTCTAGGTGCTATTGTAATACAAATAGTAACATGGGCTGATAGCCTTAGCTGTTGATATGATTCATTTTACATTGTATCAGTGTGGTAGCTTTGAGTACTGCTCATTTTTTGTGAATCAAACCATATCACATGCACCATGTAGCCCTACATACTTTTTGCTGATGGCTGTTACATACTTAATAATGCCTAGAAACCACAATGATAGGAAAAGTGCATAGCTAGAGAGAATTGAGTGGCTCTTCTTTTCCGTGTGTGGGCTGATTTTGAAGCAGGCACGGTTGTCAAGCTGTAATTATAGATGTAATGAAATGCAGTTTTAAATGTCTAATTGAAAAACACAGCAAAGCCCATCAAAAGAGCCAGATGTTTGTAAAACTGTCTGAAAATTTGAGGGAGTCTTCCCTTGCTGGGTTCTTACATTTTGAATCAGGTTTCTAGTTTTAGTTTAAAACCAAGTAAACCCTAATGAGGAAAATATGTGAGAAGTGTTTTTAAATATACACAAAATGTTCCTCATTCCTCATGTTTGAAGAGGGGACTGCTGCTCCTTACAGACTTTCCATGCTCGCTGGGAGCTTATCTGTGGAAGTGCCAGTCTTCAGACAAGACCAACTTTTTAATCTAATTCAAAGGAGAACAATTTTTTTAAAAATGATTAAAAGCCTATGTACGTGCATGTGCACGTGTGTGTGTGTGTGTATCTATCTTCTGCACTTTCGCCGTATCCCATTAGTTGGGGTCAGTGGCACTTATTCTTTGTCTCCAAGGGTTTCCGTCAAGTGCATCTTCCAGTCTGACACAGACCTTTGTCACGTCCTCCTTCAGTATCTTGAACCACCTTTTACTGGGTTTTAGCTGTATGCATCTAGAACGTGGTAGCCTTTGCCCATTTTCCGCAGCCATCAAGCAAGGTGGTTGCACGTTGCTGCCGGGGATGCTCTAGCACTGTACTGATGTACTCTTGAAGACGAAGACCCACAGAACATATATAATTGGCCCAACTTTTACAAACTGGCTGGCCAGGCCTGACGTTCTTGGTATGAAATCAGACCTTTTCTTCTCCTAGGAGGCCCACCTTTCTCATCTCCACTTGCAGTTAAGAACACTTTTGCCAAGAGAAGGTAAGTCGTAGGAGTTCAACAGTCAGAGACAATGCCAACTTTTGAATATAACTCAAAGGAGAACAGTTTTAAAAACCTGATTAAAAGCCGTGTGTGTGTGTAAAAAAACAAAATACTCATAATTTGCCTAAAAATAAACACTGGAAACCCCATAAATGAATGAATTGTTGTTGT